AGGCTAAATATACGTCACACCATCTGCACGAGCATCGCCCTCTTTGACTGAGTACGAGTGATGGAAAGAAGCAATTCATCTCTTTCAGATCTACCCGTAAGTATTAAAAACAAACATAAGTATATTAAAAACAAACACTGGGAGTACAAACAGTATGAACGTTTTTTGAAAATATTAGTACAAGATAGGTTACAGTTACGACAAAGCTATCAAGCTGATCATCTGTGGATAGGGATCTTTATTTCAATCAATCAATCCTTTATTATCTCACACAGATGGAGAAATTCAGTTCGATGAATAAACATCAAGGCCGGCCGCGTACTCTAATTTTCCGCGCTCCTTATGACAGTTATTCAACAGCAGAGAGCAAAACAGACACTTATTTCAAACAAACATGGGAGAGACACGGTACATGTGGAAAAACATGCGGATCTTTTTAATGGGAAGTCATCACTCTGGCCCGCCTCGTCCAAGCGCGTCAGAGGGGAGTGTGGGTGGGGGAGGTGGAGGGGAAGACCACCATAGACTGAAAAGAGAGGGAGGCAGACATGTAGAGGGGGGGGGACTGTAACTGGTGATTGGGTTATGAGTCTGAGTCAGATAGAGTCCAGTGTCGGCCTTGAGTAGCCGATGTAGCAGTGTGGGTGGAATGTGAAGGACAAAGATAGCGCAGGTGCAAACATTGGAGACAAAACAACACATGCCCTTGTGGGAAATGTGTATAAGCACTTTAGCTGATCAATGAAAGGCAGTGTAAACTAAAGCCAATATGTCCAAATTATACTGGACCTGGACCCTCCGTTCACCGTTATCCGGAGTTGACCACGTCAGTACGAGGTTCCACCGTGAGGCCCAAGTCCTTCAATTCCATCCAAAGATCTCACTCTCAGGTCATTAAGGGAATGTTCGATCCGACTCACCCCCCGTTGTGTCCCCACTGTGCCCTCGACCACGACTCTGACCAACTCGCGGAAACTCTCCTTGTTTTCCGCGGACAGCCGCTCGTAAATCTTCTGAGTGGACAGCCCTCCAACTTTGCGGTAGATCAAGCCAACTCCAAATCCAATCAGGAGGAACCCTGCTACCATAAATCCAAAAATGTCCTCGATGGACAGTCCCGACAGACCAGGGGTGCTAAATACGTCGATCGCGATCTACCAGTCGATCGCAAAGGTAGTATTGGAAGATCGCATTAGATTAAAAATAAATAAAATATCCGTTTATGCATTTGCGTGCGGACAGAGATAACCGGAGTTTTGCGTTTTTTCACGCCACAGTATGCCCCCAAAACAACAACAACAAACAAAACGTGCGACCTCTGATCACTGAAGCATGGATCATACTGCCTTAAAAACTGTTCTCTGCTGCAGCGGAGTGATCACGCACGCTCGAAAACAACCAAAACAGGAGCTAAACCAGGATCAAACCAGGACCAAACCAGGACTAACCCAGGGCTGAGGACTGGGGTCAAGGCTTGTAAGCATATGTCTTCACCATGGATCTATAATAACACGTCTTCACCCAGAGTTTCTACTATGACTGTAAGTGGCGCTACAGAACGAAAGTTACGAATGAAACTACGGTTCTATGAATCCTGGATGACCGCTGGAGGCGGTGCTTAAATGCAAATGATTTCATAAATCATGCCGTTTTGCATGAACATCAACATACATTGTAGATATAAAGAATCCTCAATATATTTAGAAAGAAATATATGTTTTGCATTTTTGTAGTAGGTAGATCATTTTGACTTGATCATTTTATAAGTAGCTCGCATGCTGAAAAAGTGTGAGCACCCCTGCGACAGACAAACGGGGTGCCACTTTTGCCAGTTGTCAAAGACGTACCCAGCAGCCGCCGTACCATCCGGGCAAACGGCATCTCCAGAACCGCCAATTTTCTTTTGAAATTCTCATACATATCTTAAAGAATTTTGCATTTGGTTTCCAGTGTTGAAGCAATCTTCTCCAGCGTCTCTGCTATCTGTTCGTGATACTGCGTCCAAGATCAGGCGTGGTCGTGGAGAGGCACGGGTTTGTGTGGATGTGCTGCTGCAGGAGGGCTCTGTCCGTTCTGGGCCTTGTTCTGTTTCAAGTTGGATCTGCGGGACTTCATCGGTGATTAAAGAAAATAAATAAATACAAATCGAGCCAAGGTTGCAGCCCCAGTCCGATAAAGCCGTATTTGAGCTTGCACACTGTGGTAAACCCCTCCCTTACAGGCACATGTACATGTGAACAGTGATCCTCAGAGGATGACAGTGGTCGATCTTCTGATTCTGGATGCCAAGTGCTGTCTTCCCAGGAAATGCTAAAGAAAGAAGAAGAGGCGTATTTAACTTCAGCAAATAAATATCTAATTGTGGCTTATCTTTTTATACAGCTACTTACGTTGCATTATGGAGGCTGTTGAATTGATTGAAGACCTCATTCCAATCAACTGAGGCCATACTGCAATGTAGACATGTAAGTTATTTTAAGTTTCTATATTATATTGTGCTAATAATTTATTTGGTACTGTAGTAATCAGCAAGACTTGTTTTACTTATTATGAATACATAAAAAAAGTAGTGGTCATGAAATCAGAATAAAGCAGCAGTTACATTTGTAGAAGAGAGTTTTTATATATAAAAATAAAACTATCCATACAGTGAAGGTTGCAATACTTAGTTGCTTGCACTATATCTACGTCTGCATTTCATTCTAAACTGCAATGACGATCTTTCTTACCAGCAAACATAGATTGCATTATTATCGTTTGAGCATTGCCTACAGACAAGTAGCCAAACCTTGCCTCCATTTGTTGAACAGTTTCCTCAGTGGAGATGTCCTCCTCTAGCTTCTGTATATGAGGGAAAACACCGTCATCTTCCCTGGCTAAAACAAACAATTCAATTAAATAATCTTAAGGATCAGAAGTGACCTTAACGGCCACATATTCACAAAAGAACTACAGACAGCTAACGCTAACAGCTAACGCTACTTCACAGGGGAATTCGTATTGATGATGGGAGACGCTTTCCGCGGGGTTTGAGAGGCGTTGATAGTCTGGTCTAATCATATCGTACTCATTTCATTTCAGACATGTAGGAAAGGAGTTCACGGATGGCTAAGGCTTCAACGTTGTGTTGTCTTTCTCATAGCCAACGCTAGCTACTGCGCAGTTGTCGCCACAAAATGGAGTATATTTCTACAACAGCAGGGGGTTTTTAACAAACTAGATGGATGATAAACCACATTACAGTCTATCTCACAAAAAAATATGTATAATTACTACTACTACTACCACTACTGCGTAAAATGGTGCTTACCTGTTCAGTGGGAGAAAGACTAGTCGGTTCTTAAATCCATGATTCTCCATCGATCTAAAGGTCGCCAATATAAATGCAGCTCGTCATCATGTTGCTCCTTCTTGTTGTTCCTCCGTTTCTGGCGTTTTACTTGTATTTTAGTGTAAGCCTGCGGCAGCCTAGCCCCAGTGATCCAAGATGACACCCTATTCAAATCAATGGCTTGTGCTCAGCAGTGTTGGGTGTAACCATGGATCTATTATAATAACTGGATAGGGTATTACAGCTTGTAGCTGAATAACTCATGTGCTCGGGGGATTCTCGCGGTACTGCAGACTGAACCAGACTGAACCAGACTAAATTCACGTGGGCTACCCAGAAATTTTCCCCATAGAACTCAATGCATATTAAAACAGCTCAACCTCAGCTGACAGAGAACCTGACAGAGAACCTGACAGAGAACCTACAGCTTTAATAAAGATAGTATTTTGTGGGGATTTTAGTGTCCCTTGTCGTCCTGAACTTTTTTTCTTCTTAAATCCTTCGGTTTTGTTTAAATCCACACTTTAGTGCCACAAACTCTGCTCGTCTGGCTCTGGCTCTAACTCCCGCTCTGATGAACTGCTCTGATTGGTCAGAGCCGAGCCCCTCTGTGCACGTGCATGAGACCCTCTGTGCACGTGCATGAGAGCCACACACGTGAATTTGGCGCAAAGCATCAATGGAGCTTGTACACTCGTCTGGTATTAGTCTCGGTACCAGACCCAGACTAAACCCCATATAGACCAAGACCTGAAAAGTAATAAAACTAGGCCCAAGTCCAAACCCTGATCAAAACAAGATCAAGACCCATACCAAAACCAGTTTCAAGCAAAGGCCGGACCAGACCCAGACGTACACCAGACCTAGGACCAGCACCGGACCAAGACAGGACCCCGACTAGACCAGGATCAAACCAAGACCAAAAAAAGGCCAAGTCCAGACCAAAGACTAAAACCAGACCAGGTCAAGACCTGACCCATAAACAAACAAGGCCCAAACTAAAACCAGACCCAAGGCCAGATCTGTATCAAAGCAATCCAGACCAAAACCAGACCCCGACAAGAACTGTCAGAGTTTATTTCTTAAATAAAAATGTCCGTGTCTATCCAACTGTCTTTGTGAAAAGTACGTTACTGCCCTCTGCTGTTTATTCTATTTGTCGCATGTTGCTGTGGCAAGAGGTGTGTGCCGTCTTCTCTGTCTGGTTCAGTTTTTCCAATGTGGTTTTACTGCAAATGGCAAATACATTCTTGTATCTTTTAGAACTGATTTCACCAAGTAATCAGTAATCAATGTTTCAATCTGTAATCTGTGCAGGATCCATGCTTCATTGGGTAAGCTTTTGAGTAGGGTTAAATATTGGCTAAAGGTCAGAATCATAATCATTTTTATTGCCACGTGAGTAACAGGAAGTCACAGACTTGGAGATTGCTTTGGCTCAGTGCAACAGTCAGAAAGAGAGGTAAGGGTAGAGAGGCATAATAAAAAATAAAGAAGAAAAAGCACTTCTAAGGAATACATTTAAAATAGAGTTTAGGGCCGTAACAGTAATCGTGGACTGTTAGTTTTCTATGGCATTTCATATTTAGAATGTGAAACACAAAGATGAGCATGAGCAACACTTGCACCTAGTGGGAACTATATTAAGTTTTTAACAACCCAAACAAACCTTCACTATGTCAAAATCGGCTCCTCCCATCTGCGCTTCGACGTTGGCCACGGTGACGATCACAGGCCTCTTCCACGCCGGGCCTTTGTTATGCAGCCTGCGGCTCATTTTCACCTCCACCATGGAGCCATTCACTGGGATGGGACCACACAACTTGAGTAGGTAGAAAGAGCTGTCCTCCGGGATGGTCAGGTGCGCTCCGTCATAAGAGGAGGCTACAGCGGTCTGCGTGACGGAACACACGCCTTCTCTCCTGGGGTAGCATCCCAGTAACCCCACCTTGGAAAAAATGAGATAAAAGATACAAATTGAGTTAATGATTTGTAATCAAATTTACTCCAGCTTTAAGTCAACACTGACTTCTTCCATCTCGCTATCTCGTTAAATATCGGCTCAGTATTCAACTGATGGGAGTCTGTTATCAAACCCACTCTACTTGTTTCTGGCTCAAACTATTTTGTCAAATCATGTCTTTTGTCAAATCTTCTCAGACAGATGTTATTTTGAAAGTTCATTATGTCTTCTTTATGTTTAGGGCTAATGTCACATACAATGTAAAATCAAGGAGGAGAAGGAGGGCAGCATACCATTCACCATCAACAGGATGGCAGCCGGTAATAACAGCTGATAAGAGAAACGTCACACCAGCACAAGTGACGTGTGCAGATGTTCATGGTTGGTGAGGCACTAACTTCATCACAATCAGATTCCATATCAACATGACCTACAGTATGGATTATTCCTTATTTATTTTGAAACGGTGCCAGCATTCTTTAATCAAACAAAAAGTAAAAACCCTAAAACACACTTCATCAAAACATTTACTGTCTCTGATGTATACAAAGCAGTTCTTCGGTCATGTCGTAGTAAATTCCAGTCTTCCTTATATTCAATTTATAATCAAGTTCAGATAATAATTTTTTGTATAGATGAAAAAGTAGCTGGCACCTCTCGTGTCTGCATTGTCTTTAGCTAGCTGTCTGCAGCTGATTCTTGGGTGGGAAGGATGGTGAGTGAAGGAAAAATGTATCCTTCACCTCCCATCCTTGTCATTATATAATAATATAAAGTCATAACATGCTTACAATATATGCTTACAACACCAGGGATTCAAAGTCACTGGTTGTACAATGTATACAGTTTCACTCACTAGAAGGACGCCTGACATTCATTTTTTTAATTTTTCAAGTTTAAATCCTTAAACTTGTCATTTAAACTTATCTTCTGTACATGTCTAATCCCACCTCAGCCGCGCACACTTCTCCTTCCTTGCACGACTCATTGTAGCAAGAGACATCGCCGGCAAATCCACAGCTGCATCTCATCACGCACTCCCCTTCCTCTCCAGACGGCCCAACCCAGAAAGTCTGGTTCATAGGGTAGTAAAGGCCGTTGTGTTCGCAGCCACAGTCCTCGCGGAGCACACATCGGCTCCCACTCAGCACATATCCTGGATCGCACTGGCAGCCCTCGGTGCAGGGATGCACACAGTACAGTGGAGAGGTCAGGTCGGAGCATGAGGCGGGACAAGCCGTGGTGCACACCTGGTATTGGCTGAACTCAGGGCACGTTAGAGCTAAAGAACGAAGGAGAGAGAGAGTGTGAAACTTAATACATGTTGTTATGCTTGGAACATTTCATATTATATCTTCAGCTTTACTACAGTGGTGGGAAGCGAATGATTTCACTTGGCCAATCTACAGGTCATCATATCTATAGAGGCAAGTAGTAAAACATGTGGTGTTCAAAAATGAACTAATTATATCACACTATTCCAAGCAAATAAATATACATCAAGTAAGTGGTATTTATAGTACCAAATATTTAAAAATAAACATTGAACCCATAATGACATTGGTGTCTGCCATAACAAGCCTTCTTTACTTTCAGTTTTTGTTCAGTTGCTTGGTATGTTCCTTTTTTGTAAAAACCAAAAACATAAACAAAACATTAAGTTAAACTAAATAAAACTTATTAAAAGTTGGTAAAAATACCTACATACTGCCAGAAATCAAAATGATCAGTTACAAAAGGTGAACTAAAAAACGACTTTCCACAAAAAATTATGGACACCTTGGCATAAAAGCAAAACCTAAAGAAATTGTGGCCCCCAACCAATTGGACACTATAGGGCTACGTTTTTTCAATTTAACAACAGGGGGTACATGCGTCCTCTCTCCATGGGCCAGTGGATACTCCGTGTATTTACCCAGTTAAAATTCATCTTACTTAAAGGCACACCGTGTAACTCTTGGCCACTAGGGGCGCTAGACCTGCAACTTTCACGTTTAGCGCCCCTAGTGGCCACAAGCAACTCAGCACTGTCGCAAAAGTCAACAAACAGTCAGCCGGTGTCTTTTGAGTGTGTATTCAGACAGCATGCACTGGTGTGTGTGTTCAAACTGTAGAGACATGCCTACAGATATTGAGAGACTCTGCTGTGGTCAGCCTCCAGACCGCTGCATTAGTAATCTACCACACATGGACTTCTATATCCTGGATGAGGGAGTTCTGCGTCTAGCTCGTGCTGCGTGGAATGACATCTTTGCGGTCGATGACATCCAGGAACCAGGTGAAGAGCAGCGCTCATACAGACATGCAGCTTACAGCACGATCCCTTTCGCGTTTCCTCTTTTTAGCCTCCTCCGAAGGTTTAAAATTTTTCCTTGCCTCAGCCATGACCAGGAGTCGAGCAGGTGAAAAATGAGTAGCAAAAGCCTTAGCTCCATGAGTATATCAGCGCCTGTAGCCGTAAAGCAAGTCTTTCTTCCAAGTCACGTGACCTGGTGGCAGACGGTCCGTCTGCTCGAAACTTACATGGGCGGTATTTCAAGAGGGCAGCCCCGCTCGGAGCATTGCAAGTGTCAAGCGCTGTATATTGGCCCAAGTATTCATATAAAATAACTCATATGTGTCAACTCTTTAGGTCACAAAGTCCGCGGTGTGCCTTTAATAGTATAATATCTGCATTTTTTTAAATGTCTCAAAAACAAAGATAATCAGAAATAATGAAACGTCCAACGTCACACTTCTAATGTTGGAGCCCGCCCCTGTGTACATTAAACAAATCTTACCGCAGAAGGCACGAGATCTCCATGACCGTATGGTCACTCCCAGTGCTTGACATGCCAACGCATAGGCCTGTATAGCTTGGCACAGCGTTGTAATGTTGTCCTTATTGCTACACATATCGTAAACACAACTGTACACAAAGGCTGTCGGGTCCACCACTGCCCGACAGTCCCTGAAAGGCCCGTCAGTCTTGTTGATGAGTCCGCAGTAGTCTGGTCGGAAGTAAAATGCTTCGGTTACTGGGTCGCACACACTGCAGTTCTGTGCGCAACCGTCCGTGCACCTCCAGTCAGTGTCCTCCGCTCTCCAGCTGCCTCCGAGCTCAACTACGCTCTCGGCCAAAGACCCGTCCGGCAGAAGGGGATCGTCGGCTGGGTCGTCGTTGTAGTTGCCGCAGAGTCCACAAGTGTTGTTAAAGTAGGAGCTGGGCAGGGAGATGGACGCATAGTGCTGGCCATCGTAGGTGACCAAAACCCCAAAATCCGTCTCTAGAGCCACAGCCACTCCTGACTGGTATACTTTCACTGCACCTAGTTCAAGCTGGACAGGCAGTGTCTTTGTCAGGCCATCTATCTGGAAAAAGATCAAATAATTAGCATTCATCTTAAACTCCTGTAATCTGGTTTACAGTCTTTAAATAGTAAAAACTGTGGTTTCACTGTGGTTTCTATTTTTCCCACAAGGCTTTTTTTCAAGTTTTCCCTACTAAAGGACAGTGCAGGTAGATGCCATGCGACATTCATGAATTTGTATTCTATGAACATGGATGAACTTTCTCCCCTCTGGACAGCCATCTTCACGTGGTGGGGGAGTTTGAGTACTCGGATGACCCTGGGAGCTATCTTGTCTGGGGCTTTATGCCCCTGGTAGGGTCTCCCATGACAGACAGGTCTCGGGTGACAAGTCAGATGATGCGCAGTCCAAAAACCACCATGGATCTCACAAAGTTAATGCCCTTGACGTCGCCCGGCATGGCGCAGCCGGGGCCCCACCCTGGAGCCTGACCTGGGGTTGGGGCTCGTATGTGACCATCTGGTGGCCGGGCCTTAACCCATGGGGCCCAGGCGGGCTCAGCCCGAAGGGATGATGTGGGCAGGCCCTCCTGTGGACCACCCACAGAGGGATCTGAGGTGGAGGGGTGCTGAGAGGACTGGCAGAGGCCTCGACGACCCAGTCCACACACACAACATCCGGCTCTTGGGACGTGGAACTTGACCTCACTGGAAGGAGCCCAAGCTCATGGGGGAGGTTGAGTGATACCGACTAGAGATAGTCAGCCTCACCTCCACACACAGCTTCCGGGTGGGGGACAAGTCTCTCACTGTTGTTGTGCCTACGGGCCTAACAGCAGTGCAGAGTACCCGGCCCTCTTGGAGTCCTTGGGAGGTGTACTGGACGGTGCACCGCCCGAGGACTTCAATATTCACCTGGGGGACTTCAACGCCCATGTGGGAAATGCCAGTGACACTTGGAGAGGGGTGATTGGGAAGAACGGCCCTGATCTGAACCCGAGCGGTGTTCAGTTGTTGGACTTCTGTGCCAGTCACAGTTTGTCCATCACCAACACCATGTTCCAGCACAAGGGTGTCCACCAGTGCACGTGGCACCAGGACACCCTAGGCCGGAGGTCGATGATTGACTTTGTTGTCGTATCATTTGACCTTCGACCACGTGTCTCGGACACGCGAGTGAAGAGAGGGGCGGAGCTGTCAACCGATCACCACCTGGTTGTGAGATGGGTCCAGTGGAAGGGGAGGAAGCCGGCCAGACCTGGCAGACCCAAGCGTGGAGTGAGGGTCTACCGGGAACCTCTCGCTGAGCCCCCTTTCAGACGGACTTTCAACTCACACCTCCAGGAGAGCTTCTCCCAGGTCCCGGCGGAGGAGGGGGCTATCGAGTCCAAGTGGACCATGTTCTCTTCCTCTATCACCGATGCAGCGACTCGTAGCTGTGGTCGCAAGCTCCGGTGCTGGAGCTTGCCAGTGGACACGGGCAGTAAGGGATGCCGTCAGGCTGAAGGAGTCCTATTGAGCCATGATGGTTCGTGAGACTCCTGATGCAGCTGTCCAGTACCAGCAGGCCAAGCGTGCCGCAGCCGGGCTGTTGCAGAGGCAAAAACCCGGGACTAGGAGGAGTTCGGAGAGTCCATGGAGCATGACTATCAGACGGCCTCGAATAGATTCTGTCAAACCATCCAGTGCCTCAGGAGGGGGAAGCAGTTCTTTGCCCACACCGTGTATGGTGCAGATGGCGAGCTGCCGACCTCTACTGGGGATTTTGTCGGGCAATGGAAGGAATACTTCGAGGTTCTCCTCAATCCCCCCGTCACGTCCTCCGTTCTGGAGGCAGAGGCTGAGGATGTTGGGGCGGATACTTACATCTCCCTGGCTGAGGTCACAAAGGTGGTTGGCAGCCTCAATGGTGGCAAGGTTTCGGGAGTAGATGAGATCCGTCCTGACTATCTGAAGTCTCTGGATGTTGTAAGACTGTCTTGGCTAACACGTCTCTGCAACATTGCGTGGCAATCGGGGGCAGTGCTATTGGAGTGGCGGACCAGGGTGGTGGCCCCTCTCTACAAGAAGGGGGACCGAAGGGTGTGTTCCAATTTTCGTGGGATCACACTCCTCAGCCTCCCCGGTAAGGTCTACTCCAAGGTCCTGGAGAGGAGACTACGACCGATGGTCGAATTTAGGATTCAGGAGGAGCAGAGTGGTTTTCGTCCCGGCCACGGAACACTGGACCAGCTCTACACTCTCCATCGGATACTCGAGGGTTCATGGGAGTTCGCCCAACCTGTTCACATGTGCTTTGTGTATTTGGAGAAGGCGTTCGACCGTGTTCCTTGGAGTGTCCTTTGGAGAGTATGGGGTCAGGGGTCCTCTGCTGAGGGCCGTCCGGTCCCTGTATGACCGGAGTCAGAGCTCGCAGTAAGTCAGACCTGTGCATGTTGGCCTCTGCCAAGTATGCTCTTTGTAAGTAAGTAAGTAAGTAAGTTTTTATTTATATACCGCCTTTTCACTGCAGATCTGAGTCTCAAAGCGGTTTACAATTGTTAATTTTGGGCATTTGTCTCTCACTCCACACAGAGATGGGAGCGGGGTCGCCAGTACAGGAGGCGCATGCCAGAACTATTGGACATATTTTTAGTGGTAGGGGAAACCGGAGTACCCGGAGGAAACCTACGCAGACACGGGGAGAACATGCAAACTCCACTCAGAAAGGCCCTGGTCCGACCGGGATTCGAACCCAGGACCTTCTTGCTGAGAGGCGAGAGTGCTATCCACTCAGCCACCGTGCCGCCTTTGTCCACTTTGTCACCGGTTCTGTTCACTGTCTTTGTGGGCAGAATTTTTAGGCGCAGACAGGGGCCGGAGGGGGACCGGAGGATTCCATCTCTGTTTGCGGACGATGTTGTCCTGTTGGCTCCAAAAAACCAGGACATGTTCCGGGCACGTACCACAGGGAGGAGATCCCGGGAAAGACCCAGGACACGCTCGAGAGACTATGTCTCTCAGCTGGCCTGGTAATGCCTTGGGGTCCTTCCGGACGAGCTGGAGGAAGTGTGTATGGATAGGGAAGTTTGGGCGTCTCTGCTTAGACTGCTGCCCCCGCGACCTGGCAATGGATGAAGCGGAAGAAAATGGATGTATAGATGGAAAAATTGATTAATTAATAAGTCTCTTGGACCATGAATTGTTTTATTTCCCATTTAGCCTTTTCTTTCGCTACATCTGGACCTTGGTTGCAGAAGGAGCGGTTTGACTTCTTTGCCTATTTCTTTTTGCACCTGACCTCCTGGTGGTGACTGACAGACCCCCTCCGGCCCCTGGCTTTGCCTAGAAATTCTTAGAAACTAGACTGGGAGTCCTCTCTGCATCAATGCCCCATGGATTCCTGGATTCCCCATGGAACATATTGTACATGTTTTTAGTGGTCGATGGACCCGGAGGAAACCTATACAGACACGGGGAGAACATGAGAACTCCACTCAGAAAGGCCTTGATCCGTCCGGGATTCGGCCCCAGGACCTTCTGGCTGAAAAGCGAGAGTGATATCAACCCCGGTGGCTAACTGGGGCAGCACTAAAGAACAAATATGTATATAATAAAGCATAAAAAGGATAATTTTGTGTCCAAATTTAGACCAATGAGTTTAATCCATTTGTTCTTCTAACCATCCATCCTTAAATCATTTATTTAAAACTGTAAATATATACATAAATCAATCAAATATTACCTGGACCGTGCCAGAAGTTCCTTTAGGAAGGAGCACTCGATGCCCATACACCTCCACCGTAACATCTCGTAACCAGGAAACCGAAGCCATTCCGCGATTCTCATTTTTGGCCTCTACGCTGAAGAACGGAAGACCAGGTATTTCCCAGCAGGGACGGGCCAGCAGGTAAGAGCAAGTTCCTTGGAAGTGGTAAAGGAATCCATCGAAGGTGTGGTAGTGGGGGTCTCCAAAGACGACACAGGTGCTGGTGCGGGTGGGCATGCAGTAGAAGGCCCCCTCCTGATGCTCGCAGGTCTCCAGCTGTCCACATGGGGCCTGCTCACACTGCACCTCGTTGTCCATGTCCAGACAGCGGCACCTCTGGGAGCATTGGTCCGAGAGCCAAAATACCTCACCTCGTCTGTAGTAACGTCCTGCCAGTGAAAAAAGATATACGTTTTGGGATAGAAGAAGAAAAACTTTTAATGAACTTTTTGTCATTTGTGATTCAAATGCAATCACCCAGACCCAAGTTTTGGGTCTTCAAATGGTCCAAAACCAAACTAATGAACACAGTTTGCAATAATCGTTCCTCATTTTCACAAATAATGCGAGCATCATAACTAAGTCAAGATTTTGGTTCATAAGTGCTTCTCACGACTTTCGGAGTAATTTCTAGCAATATGAAAAGATGTGAAACATGCAATTACAAATGTATATTTATAATAAACTATTAGTGCCTCCAGTCTTTTTATTTCCCATACCAATAATTCATGTGCAAGATGGATGACCATAATATGACAGGATAAATGCATTATTCCTGGATTATTCATTGAGTAAGGTTGGGGTTCTGATCCGGCACTGTCCAAGATGGTGTGTCCAAATTGAACTATGGCAATTAGCCCGAGGCTACAATCCTAATGGGTGTGTTCATTAACATTCAATGTCCCAACCAGATAAAGAATTAACAACAAATCAATACTAATACTACACCGCAAGCAGACTAGCTAAAGTGGGTTTCACATCAGACATTTGTCCACACTGCACTCAGAACTGTCCTGAACTGCACCCCCATCAAACCCTTTTGGGAAGAGGTCACACGGTCACTATAATCTCTGCTGGGCTGCCACATCCCATTATCCCCCCCCTCCTCTACCTGCTAGGGGATCTATCAATGCTCTCCGTTACACCCATAAACTCAAAAATACTCTTGATAGCTCTAACCATTGCAGAGAAAACCATCTTCTTGAACTGGAAATCCCGCAATAACATACATTTAAACCATTGGAAAAACCTTCTCACAGACTTTATCACATTAGAATATTCATCATCACCGCCTGCAATAATCCTTCAGAGTCCAACTCCTCACTCCTAACTCTGCCAGACCTGCTCCATCTTTAAATCACTAACAGCTAAAGCTATATTTACTAATTCGCTCATTCATTCATTCTTATATCATTTTTTTTATTCATCTCTCTTCACTAAACTTACACTATAATTGATGAATAAGTAGTAAAATATTCCACTACAATAACTTTAGCATATGATTTTTACTTTTATTATTTCAGGAACCAATATGGGAGTGAATGGGGGATCAGGGAGCAGAAGAGATAATCATAATCAGTGATAGTCTGACTTGGTATTTGGGGATGGCAGTGACGGCCACCGCCCTGTTGTTAGAATTATGATCGTTATGTTTGTTATTGGTGGCGGTATTGGTGATATTTTTGTTGTTGTTATAAAATGATCAATGCATATGCACGCACACACACACGCACAGTCAAGTACAGTCACACACGTCTACACACAACACTATTCACTGTCCCTGTCTGTGCTCTTGTATGTCTTGTTCTGTGTATGTTTGTGATAACTGTTTGTTTTGAATGTATGTTGTATTTGTGTTGGAATAAAAAAAAATATATATATACATATATAGCGATGGGCCTAGAAGAACAGTTTAAAATATGTCCGCTATGATAGAAGGATAAGAAAACATTACTCGGTGAAGAGAAGTTGCAAAGATATAAATTACCATTGTAACTGCAGCCGTTGGCCGGATCAATAAGTTCAGTGTCCACTCGGAAGAACCAGCGTCCGGGCACGTTCACATTGGTGGTCTGCTCTATGTTGACAACATCGTTGGAGCGTGACCCTGGCAGGTTGAAGAAGTGTCCAATGTCTCCACCGTTGAAACCTGACTGGAAAGGGACATGGTGTGAAGGATGTCGTGATGCGTGTCCAAATATACAGCATTTTGAGTGTGTACCAGTGACATGCAGTGAGCTTTATGGTTGCGGAAGTGACTTCATCACAATCAGCATTCATATCAACATTACCTACAGAGCTGCATATTCACCACTTCAGTTTAACCTTTATACCCAGATAATAGTTTGAGTTTAGATATGTAATCCTAACTCAGGTGTGCATAAAAAAGTCAAAAAAACTAGCTGTCTGTAGCTGACTCTTGTATGGCACTGTATACCTCACTTAGTTGTGGTTTTATTGTCAAAAACACAATACACGGCACATCCAAGGTTTTATCAGAGCTGTCTGATCTCAAAAACTTCTGGAGCGATTTAGTGATGAAAAACTCACTAACAAAAGGCTGCTCCTTTTTTATTTTGTTCTTAAGAATCTTTTTTTTTGGTCATACTGTATATTGTTATATATTGGAGAACTGACCGGAATTTCCCAGCAGCCGCCACTCACAACCCCCTGCAGACACCTCCTACAGACGCCAAAACTCTTTTAATTAAATTAAGAAGACACAGGACAGTGAGTTTTGTCTTCCCTACAGAGCCAGGCAATGATCAAAGACATTTGTGTATCTCTCCTGAGCTTCAAAGACATCCCACGCCAGCGGGGAGGATACCTTCACCACAGGCCGGGGTCAACAGACTCAAGATAGAACTCTGAGACTGCATTCCACTGCCCCCAGCAGCAGCAACAGACTAAGCACTCCCAACGAGAAGATTTCTATGATCACTGTAAATAACTTTTGTGTGTTGAACCTTAACCATCCATCCATTGTCTTCCGCTTCATCCGTTGCCGGGTCGCGGGGATAGCAGTCTTCCCTAGCCACACACACTTCCTCCAGCTCGTCCGGGGGGACCCCAAGGCGTTCCCAGGCCAGCTGAGAGACATAGTCCCTCCAGCGTGTCCTGGGTCTTCCCCGGGGTCTCCTCCTGGTGGGACGTGCCCGGAACACCTCCCCAGGAAGGCGTCCAGGAGGCATCCGGTACAGATGCCCGAGCCACCTCAACTGGTTCCTCTCGACGTGGAGAAGCAGCGGCTCTACTCCGAGCTCCGTCCGTGTGTCTGAGCTCCTCACCCTATCTCTGAGGGAGCGCCCAGCCATTCTTCGGAGGAAGCTCATTTCGACCGCGTGTATCCGTGATCTCGTTCTTTCGGTCATTACCCAAAGCTCATGACCATAGGTGAGGGAGGGAACGAAGATTGATCGGTAAATCGAGAGCTTTGCCTTTCGGCTCAGCTCCCTCTTTACCACAACGGTCCGATACAGCGACCGCATCACTGCGCACGCTGCACCGATCCGCCTGTCAATCTCACGCTCCATTCTTCCCTCACTCGTGAACAAGACCCCGAGATACTTGAACTCCTTCACTTGAGGAAGGACCTCTCCACCCACCTGCAGAGGGCAAGGCACCTTTTTCCGGTCGAGCACCATGGCCTCGGATTTGGAGGTGCTGATTCTCATCCCAGCCGCTTCACACTCGGCTGCAAACCGCCCCAGTGCAGGACGACATTGTCTGCAAACAGCAGAGATGAAATCCTGTGGTTCCCGAACCGGACCCCCTCCGACCCATGGCTGGGCCTAGAAATTCTGTCCATAAAGACAGTGAACAGAACCGGTGACAGAGGGCAGCCCTGGCGGAGGCCAACATGCCCCTGGAACAGGTCTGACTTACTGCCGGCAATGCGAACACAGCTCTAGCTCCGGTCATACAGGGACCGGATGGCGCTCATTAGAGGACCCCGTACTCCCGGAGAACCCCCCAAAGGACACCCCGGGGAACACGGTCGAATGCCTTCTCCAAATCCACAAAGCACATGTGGACAGGTTGGGCGAACTCCCATGAACCCTCGAGTATCCGATGGAGAGAATAGAGCTGGTCCAGTGTTCCACGGCCGGGACGAAAACCACACTGCTCCTCCTGAATCCGACATTCAACCATCGGCCGTAGCCTCCTCTCCAGTACCTTGGAGTAGACCTTACCAGGGAGGCTGAGGAGTGTGATCCCACGATAATTGGAACACACCCTCCGGTCCCCCTTCTTGTAGAGAGGGACCACCACCCCAGTCTGCCACTCCATTGGCACCACCCCCGATCGCCACGCGATGTTGCAGAGACGTGTCAGAGACAGACACTTTAGATAGTCAGGACGGATCTCATCCACTCCCGGCGCCTTGCCACCATGGAGGCTGCCAACCACCTTGGTGACCTCAGCCAGGGAGATGGAAGTATCCGCCCCGACATCCTCAGCCTCTGGGACGGAGGACGTGACGGGGGGATTGAGGAGAACCTTGACGTATTCCTTCCACCGCCCAACAATATCACCAGTCAAGGTCAGCAGCCCTCCACCCGCACCGTACATGGTGTTGGCAAAGAACTGCTTCCCCCTCCTGAGGCGGCGGACGGTTTGCCAGAATCTCTTCGAGGCCGTCCGATAGTCATGCTCCATGGACTCTCCGAACTCCTCCCAGTCCCGGGTTTTTGCCTCTGCAACAGCCCGGGCCGCGGCACGCTTGGCCTGCCGGTACTGGATAGCTGCCTCAGGAGTCCCACGAACCATCATGGCTCGATAGGACTCCTTCTTCAGCCTGACGGCATCCCTTACTGCCGGTGTCCACCACCGGGTTCGGGGGTTGCTGCCGGGACCAGCACGTGAGACCTTGCGACCACAGATACGAGCTGCTGCATCGGCGATAGAGGAAGAGAACATGGTCCACTCGGACTCCATGTCCCCCTCCTCCGCCGGGACCTGGGAGAAGCTCTCCTGGAGAGTGAGTTGAAAGTCCGTCTGACGGGGGCTCAGCGAGACGTTCCCAGCAGACCCTCACTATACCCTTGGGTCTGACGGCTTCTTCCCCTGCCAGCGGATCCAACTCACGACCAGGTGGTGATCGGTTGACAGCTCCGCCCCTCTCTTTAGCTCCGCCCCTCTCTTTAGCTCCGCCCCTCTCTTCACCCGAGTGTCCGAGACATGCAGCCAAAGGTCAGATGATAGGACAACAAAGTCGATCATCGACCTCCGGCCTAGGGTGTCCTGGTGCAGCGTGCACTGGTGGACACCCTTGTGCTGGTTCAGATCAGGGTCGTTCTTCCCGATCACCCCTCTCCAAGTGTCACTGGCATTTCCCACATGTGCGTTGAAGTCCCCCAGGAGACATTATTTATTTTAAATAAATATCTATATATTGTGTATAGTGATTTCTGTTATAAAGGAGCTAAAATCACCTCTTCAAGAGAAGGACATGGCAGCAGCCCCAGCATCTTCATGGGTAAAAAAATACACATACACTCTGATCCCTTGGACAAAATTATCTCTCGTCTGAGATCATCTACATCAGGGGTGCCCAAAAAAAAGAACCAAAGTAAAAATTTGCCAGAGGGCCGCAGGCCAAATACACCAAGATTACATGCGAGTCACAAATAAATGTAAATTTGATCAAGTTCCTTTAATTATTGTTGAATAATCAACTGCAAATCACAAGCTGAATGAATGAAAACAACATAGTCTTAGTAAAGTAGAGGTTCAAGGGAAATACGCTGGTTTGAGGCAACAACAGTTCTCTGACAACTCTGCCATCAACGATGACGCAGAATACAGAGGAGTGATACAGGACTTTTTGGACTGGTGTCAGCAGGGCACTTTACATGTTACATTATATGTCATTAACTTTACTTCCCGGGGGCTTACAATCATTTGCATTTGCATGAAATTGGGAAGCGCCCTGGCGACACGAAAAGGCGGTCTGTGAGTGTTGTATAGGGGGACGGCGATATGCAGCCATTCCGTCATCAGTAACTGAGGGCAATTAGGCCGGTGTCGTGGTTCAGTCACTCCGGAGAGATGAAAACAAACATCAGCGCTAATGGCCTATAGGAAAGCACTTTCAAAATATAGGCGCTATTATCGTAATGTAATGCATGAACAGAGAGACCCTCTCTCCCCGCAATGCACTGGAGCTTGAGGCCAGGCACATACAGGACTCAGAGACCTTTAAGGGACAGGACAAGGAATATTGTATCATGTCAATTTTTGCATTGTATTTAAATTAATTGTAGTGAGTGTGTAAGTAAACTTTATTTTTTTAGCGCCTTCACAGCCAGGGTTCACTTGGTATATTTAACGCCTTGTTGAGGTTTACGTAAAATGTAAAAAAATGTCTTGGCTTTGTTATTAATGTATTTCTCAATTTGAATGTTTGATTCTCTGGACCGGTTCTTGGTAAAAAGACATCTTTGTAAAGTCTTTGTTGTGATTTGGGTTATGCAAATACATTTGAAAAGAAACGCTATCTAATCTAAAACACTGGACATCATTTACAGTGGTCCTCGTTTATTGTTGGGTTACGTTCTATATTAAAATCTGATATGTTTTTTTTCATCCATCCTGCATTCAAAAGAAATGTTTGGAGTTGTATATACTCATTCATTGTTTGGTTTGCCCAAATTAACTATGTTTGTGAAGTCCTTCAGCTCTCTCACAAAAATCACAACAACAAAAAAAAAAATATGTGAGATCATCTGTGAGTTTTATTAGATATAGTCCAGTATTATAAATCTAGTAATCTGCGAGCTTTTGGTCATTATTTTCTGTGTATATTTATGTGTAATACTATGAAAGTTTCTGAAATGCTGTTAATTGCGCCCTCAAAGTCCAGAAACAAATACACAGTCGACCAGGTTTAGTCATTAAAACAAAGAAACCGTGTTTGGGTGTTGTAAGTTGGAATGTCCAAGTAAACAACGTAACTACATCATAGAGGCGTTTTTCCCTTTTACTCATTCACTGCCCTTGACGACAAAACTGTCATGTTGAATAGTAACGCTCATGGCCCATGACGAGTTTGACGAGTTTTTAGTGTTATACACGGGCGGGCTGCAGTAAATGGTCTGGCGCACCTTGTGAATGACCCACAATACTGAGCTATATAGTGCAAATGTACCTGTAATGATAAATCAACCCCAGTAGGCTTTCTCTGTGATAATAACATAACCATGGACCTTACCACACTGAAGATGGTTAAGTTGAGGTGCTGTGTTTAAAGCTATAATGTTGTGTTTTTCTCTGGAATGACACTTAATACACCAAAGCAGCACTCAAAGCTAACACACACACTGATATTAATATTGTGAAATTCCGTTTACAATGTAATATTGTAAATGCTTTATCTGCACTAATGAAAAACTCACTACTTACATTTCCAGTTAGTCACAGATTTTACAGATAAAACTGATGTGCGTATTAAAGGACATGTTTAAAGGACATTTTAAATACAATGTGTCTTTTTTTAGATATTTTTGCGAATAATCCTCCTGGCCCTCGCCCAGTTGAGATGCAATTAGGTTGTGTGTGGCCCCCCAGATCAAAATGAGGTTTGACACCCCCGCATCTAGGGTAACAACGGAGAGTGAGAGAGGGGAGTGAGAGAAGGAGGGAGAGAGAGGGGAGTGAGAGAGGGGAGGAGAGAAGAGGGGAGAGAGGGGAGTGAGAGAGGAGGAGAGAGAGGGGAGTGAGAGAGGAGGGGGAGAGAGGGGAGTGAGAGAAGGAGGGGAGAGGAGTGAGAGAGGAGGAGAGAGAGGGGAGGAGAGAAGGAGGGGAGAGAGGAGTGAGAGAAGGAGGGGAGAGAGGGAGTGAGAGAGGAGGGGAGAGAGGGGAGGAGAGAGGAGGAGGAGAGAGGGAGTGAGAGAGGAGGAGAGAGAGGGGAGTGAGAGAAGGAGGGAGAGAGAGGGGAGTGAGAGAGGAGGGAGAGGAGGGGAGTGAGAGAAGGAGGGGAAGAGGGGAGGAGAGAGGAGGGGGAGAGAGGGGAGTGAGAGAAGGAGTGAGAGAGGGGAGTGAGAGAAGGAGGGGGAGAGAGGGGAGTGAGAAGGAGTGAGAGAAGGAGGGGAGAGAGGGAGGAGAGAAGGAGGGGGAGAGAGGAGGAGTGAGAGAAGGAGGGAGAGAGAGGGGAGTGAGAGAAGGAGGGAGAGAGGGAGGAGAGAGAGGAGGGAGAGAGGGGAGTGAGGAAGGAGGGGAGAGGGAGTGAGGAGGAGGGAGAGGAGGGGAGTGAGAGAGGAGGAGAGAGAGGGAGTGAGAGGAGGGGGAGGAGGGAGTGAGAAGGAGGGGGAGAGAGGGAGAGTGAGAGAGGAGGGAGAGGGAGTGAGAGAGGAGGGGAGAGGGGGTAGAGTGAGTGGAGGGAGTGAGTGAGGTGGGTGTGTGGGTGGGTGAGAGGAGGGAGGAGTGGAGGTGGGATGTGGGTGGGTGTGGTGGGGTGAGTGGGGTGGTGTGTGGAGTGTGTGGTGTGAGTGTTGGGGTGTGTTGGTGTGTGTGTGGAGTTGGTGGTGTGTGGGGGTGTGGGTGTGGGTGTGATGGGAGGTGGGTAGTGGTGTGTTGTGGGTGGGTGTGGGTGTGTGTGTGGTGTGTTGTGGGGTGTGGTGTGTTGTGGGTGTGAGTGGGTTGTGGTGTGTGTTGGTGGTGTTGGTGGGTGTGTGGTGGGTGTGTGTGGGGGTGTGTGTGTTGGTGTGGTTGTGTGTGTGTGTGGGTGGTTTGGTGTTGTGTGGGTGTGGTTGTTGTGTGTGTGGTGGGTGTGTGGTGTGGGGTGTGTGGTGGGTGTGTTGTGGGTTGTGTGGTGTGTTGTGGTGTGTGTGGTTGTTGTGTGGTGGTTGTTGGTGGGTGTGTGGGTGTGTGTTTGTTGGTTGTTGTGTTGTGGTGGTGTTGTGGTTGTGGTGTGGTTGTTGGTGTGTGGTGGGTTGTGTGGTGTTTTGGTGTTTGGTGGTTTGTTTGTGTTGGTTGTGTGGTGTGGTGTGTTTTGGTGTTGTGTTGGGTTTGTTTTGTGTGGTGTTGTGTTGTGTTGTTGGTGGGTTGTGGTGGTTGTTGTGTTGTTGTGTTGGTTGTGTTGTTGGTTTGGTGTGTTTGGTGGTTGTTTTGTTGTTTGTTTTGTGTTTGTGGGTTTTGTGTGTTGTTGGGTTTGTTGTTTGGTTGTGTTGTGTGGTTTGTTGTGTGGTTGGTTGGGTGTGGTGTTTGGTGTTGGTGTTTTGTTTTGTGTTTGTGGGTTTGGTGTTTTGTTGGGTGTTTTTGTTTGTTGTTTTGGTGGTTGTGTTGGTGGTGTGTGGTGGTTGTTGTGTGTTGGGTTTTTGGGTTGTGTGGTTGTTTGTTGTGTGTGTTTGGTTTTGTTGGTGGGTGTTGGTGGTGTGTTTGTGTGGTGTGTGTGGTTTTGTGTGTGTTTTGTTTTGTTTGGTGGTGTTGTTGTTGGGTTGTGGTTGTTGTTGTGTGTTGTGGTGTGTGGGTGTGTGGTGGGTGTGTTGTTGGGGTGTTGGGTGGTTGTTGTGGTTGTGTGGTGTGTGGTTGTTGTTGGTTGGTGGGTTGTGGTGGTTTGTGGTGGTTGTGGTGGTTTGTGTGGTTGTTGTGGGTTTTGGTGTTTTGTGTTTTGTGTTGTGGTTGTGTGGTGGTGTTGTGGGTGTTGTTGGTGGTTTTGTGGTGTGTGTTGGTTTGGGTTGTTGTGGGTTGGTGTGTTTGGGTTGTTGGTGTTGTTTGTGTGGGTGTGTTGTGGTGTGTTGTTTTGTTTGGTGTGGTTGTTTGGTGGTTTGGTGGTGTTGTTGTTTTGGTTTGTGGTTGTGTTGTGGTGGTGTGTTGTGGTGTTTGTGGTGGTTTGTTGTGTGTTTGTTGGGGTGTTTGTGGTTGTGTTGTGGGTGTGTTGGTGGTGTTGGTGGGTTGTTGTTTGTGGTGTGTTGGTTGGTGTGTGGGTTTGTGTTTGTGTTGTTGTGGGTTGGTGTTGTGTGGGTTTGTGGTGTGTTGTGGTTGTGTGGGTGGGTGTGTGTGGTGTTTGGTGTGGGGTGTTGTGTGGGTTGTGTTGTGGGTGTGTGGGTTGTGTGTTGGTTGTTGTTGGGTGTTGTTGGGGTGTGTTTGTTGTGTGGTTGTTTGGTTGTGGGTGTTTTGGTGGTTGTGTGGTGTTTGTGGTTTGTGGGTGGGTGTTGTGGTTTTGTGGTGTTTTGTGGTTGGTTTGGGTTGTTGTGGTGTGGTTTGTGTTGTGTGGTTTGTGGTGTTTTGTGGGTGTGTTGTGGGTTGTGTGTGGTTGTTGTGGTGTGTGTGTGTTTGTGTTTGTGGGTTTTTGGTTGTTGGTTTGTGTTGTGTGTTTTGGTGTGTTGGTGGGTGTGTTGTGTGGTGTTGGTGTGGTGTTGTGTGTTGTGGTTGTGTGTTTGTGTGTTTTGGGGGTGTTTTTGGTTTGGTGTGTTGTGGTGTTTTGGGTGTTTTGGGTTGTGTGGTGGTTTTGGTGTGTGTTTGTGTGTGTTGGTGGGTGTGTTGTGGGTGTTGTGGTGTGGTGTTGTTGGGTGGTGTGTGGGTGGGTGGTGTTGGTGGTTGTGTGGTGTGTGTGTTGGTGGGTTGTGGGTGGGTGTTGGTGGTTGTTTGTGGGTTGGTTTGTGTTGTGTGTGTGTTGGGGTTGTTGGTTTTTGTGGTGTTGTGTTTTGTTTTTGTGTGTGTTTTGTTGTGTTTTTGGGTGTTTTGTTTGTGTGTTGTGTTTGGTGGTTGTTTGTTGTGTTGTTGGTGTTTGGTTTGTGGGTGTGTGTGGTGGTTGGGTTGTTTGGTTGTGTGGGTTGTTGTGGTTTTTGTGTGTTGTGGGTGTGTGTGGGTTGGTGTTTGTTGGTGTGTTGTGTGTGTGTTGTTGTGTTTGTGGGTGTGTTGTTGTGTGTGTGTGTGGGTTGTTTGTTTTGTGTGTGTTGTTTGGTTGTGTTTTTTGGGTGTGTTTGTGTGTGTGGTTGTTGTTGTGTGGGTGTGTTGGGGTGTTGTGGGGGGTGTGTTGTTTGGTTGTTTGTGGTGTGTTGTTGGTGTTTGTGGTTGGTGGTGTGTGTGGGTGGTGTGTGTGGTGTGTGTGTGTGGTTGTTTGTTTGTGGTGTTTGTGTGGTTGGTTTTGGTGGGTGTGTGTGTTGTGGTGTTGTTGGGTGTGTTGTGGGTGTGTGGGTGTTTTGGTGTGTGTGGGGTTGTGTGGTTGTGTGGTGGTTGTTTGTGGTGGTTTTTTTTGTGGTTTGTTTTGTTGTTGTGTTGGTGTGGGTTTGTTGTGGTTTGTGTGTTGTTGTGTTGTGTTGTTGTGTTGTGGTGGGTGTGTTTGGTGTGGTGTGTGTTTGGTTTTTTTGTTGTGTGGTGGTGGTTTGTTGTGTGGTGTGGGTTGTTGGTTTGGTGGTGTGTTGTGGTTGTGTTTTGGGTTGTTGTGTTTGTGTTTGTGGTTTTTGTGTGTTTTGTGGTTTTTGGTGTTGTGGGTGGTTTGGTTTTTTTGGTGTTTGTGGGTGTTGGTGTGTGTTGTGGTTGTTGGTGTGTGTTGTGTGGTTGGGTTTTTTGTGTGTGTGGTGTTTGTTTTGTGTTGTGTTTTGGTGGTTTGTTGGTTTTGTGGGGTTTTGGGTTTTGTGGTGGTTTTGTGTTTTGTGGTGGTTTTGGTGTTTGTGTTGGTGGTTGTTGGGTGTGTTTTGTTTTTGTTGTTGTGTGGGGTTTTTTGTGTGTTGTGTTTTGTGTGTTGTTGTGGTTGTTGTTGTGTTGTTTGGTTTTGGTTTGGTGTGTTTGTGGTTGTTTGTTGGTGGTTTGTTGTGTTGTTTTTTTTGGTTTTTGTTTTGGTTTGTTGTGTTGTTTTGGTTTTTGTTTGTTTTGTTTTTGTTTTGTTGTTGGGTGTGTTGTTTGTGGTGTGTTTGTGTTGTGTGTTTTTGTGTGTGTGGTGTGTGTTTGGTTTTTGTGTGTTGTTTGGTTGTGTGGTTGTGGGTTGTGTGGGTGTTGTGTTGTTGTGGTTTTTGTGTTTTTGTGTGGTGTGTTGTTTGGTTTGTGTGGTTGTTTGTTTGTAGGTTGTTGTGGTGTGTTGTTGTTTTTTTGTTTGTTTGTGTTGTTTGTGGGTGGTGTTTTGTTTTGGGTTTTTGTTTTGTTTTTGTTTGTTGTGTTTTTGTTTGTTTGTGTGGTTTTTTGTTTTTGTGTTTTTGTTTTGGTATGTGTTGTGGTTTTTGGGTGTTGTGTGTTGGTGTTTGTGTTGTGTGTTTGTTTGTTCTTGGTTTTTTTTTTGTTTTGTGGGTTTTTGTGTTTTGTGTGTTTGGTTTGTATTGGTTTTGGTGGTGTTTTTGGTGTTTGTTTGGTTGTGTTTGTTGTTGGTTTTTGTTTTGTGTGTTTGTTTTTTGTTTGTTTTGGTGGTTTTGTGTGTGTTTGGTTGTTGTGGTTTTGTTTTTGTTGGTTTTTGGGTTTGTTTTTTTTGGTTGTTTGTTTTGTTGTTTGTTTTTGGTTTGTTTTTGTTGTTTTTTGTTTGTTTTTGTTTTGGTGTGTGTTGTTGTTGTTTTTGTTTTGTTTTGTTGTTTTGTTTTGTGGTTGTTGGTTGTTTGTGTGGTGTGTTTTTTTTGTTTTGGGGTTATTGGTGTTGTTTTTTTTTGGGGGTTGTTGTTTTGTTTGTGTGGGTTGTTGTGTGTGTTTGGGTTTGTTTTTGGTGTGTTTGTTGTGGGTGTTGTTGGTGTTTTGTGTTTGTTTTGGTTGTTGTGTTTTGGGTTTTTGTGGTTTGTTTTGTTTTGTTTTTTGTGGGGGGTTTGTGTTGTTTTGTTTGTGTTTGTGGTTTTTGTGGTTTTTGGTTTTTGGTTTTTGTTGGTGTTGTTGTTTTTGTGTTTTTTTTGTTTGTTGTTTTGTGTGTTTTGTTTGTTTTTTTTTGGTTTGTGTGATTGTTGGTTGTTTTTTTGTCTTTTTGTTGTGTTTTTTGTTGTGGTGTGGTTTGTTTTGGTGTTTTGTTTGTGTTGTGTTGTTGGTTTGGTGTTTGTGGGTTTGTTGTTTTGTTTTTTTGGTGTTTTGGTTTTGGGGTTTTTTTTGTTTGGGTTTTTGTTTTGTTTGTTTGTTTTTGGTTTTTGTCTTGTTTTTGTGGGTTATTTTGTTGTTTGTGTTTTGTGTTTTTTTGTTGTTTTTTTTTGTTTTGTTGTTGTTTTTGCTTTTTTGTGGTGTTGTTTTTTGTTGTTGTTGTGTGGTGTGTTTTGGTTTTTGTTTTTTGTTGGGGTTCGTTTTTGTTGGTTTTTTTTTGTGTTTTTTTGTTGTTGTTTTGTTGTGTGGTGTTGTTTGGTGTTTTGGTTTTGTAGTGGCTTGTGTGGTTGTTTGTTCTGTTTTGTTGTGTTTTTTATTGGTTGTTTGGTTGTTGTTTGGTTTTTTTTTTGGGTTTTTGTTGTTTGTTTTTGTTTGTGGTGTTTTTTTGTGTTTTTTTTTGTTTTTTTTTGTGTTGGTTTTTGGGTTTTTGGTTGTTTGTTTTTTTGTTTTTTTTTGGGTTTTTTTTTGTTTTTGGGGTTGTTTGTTTTTTGTGTGTTGGTTTTTTTTGTGTGTTTTTTTGTTGGTTTTTTGTTTGGTTTGTTTGTTGTTTTGGTTTTGTGTTGTTTTGTTTTGTTGTTTTTTGTTTTTTTTTGTTTTGTTTTTTTTGGTGGTGTTTTTTTTGTTTTTTTTTTGTGGTTTTGTGTTTTGTTTGTGGGTTTTTGTTTTTTTTGGTGTTTTTTTTTTGTTTTTTTTTTTGTGGTTTTGGTTTGTGTTTTTTTGTTTTTTTTTGTTTTTTTTTTTGTGTGTAAGATAAAAAAGAAGGAAGAGATTAGAAAGAGAGAAAAAGGAAGATAGTAAAGAGAGAGAAAGAAGGAGAGATAGAAAAAGAGAGAAAGAAAGAGATATGAAAAGAGAGAAAAGAAAGAAGAAGAGAAGAGAAAGAAGGAGATGAGAACGAAGAAGAATGAGAGATAGAAAGAAGAAAAAGAAAGAGAAAATGATGAGAAAAGAAGGAGAGGAAAGAGAGAAGAGGAGAGACGAAAAGAGAAGAAAAGATTAAGAAGAAAGAAAAATGAAAAAGAAGAGATATAAAGAAGTAAAGGAAAGAGAAGAAGGACAAGAAGAAGATAAAAGAGTGAAAGATAAGAGAAAGAAAATATAGAAAAAGGGATAGAAATAAATGAAGCAAGAGAAGAAAGAGAGCTAAAAAGGAATAAAAAGAGGAATAAGAAAATAGAGAAAAGATGCGACTCTAATATGAAAATAAGGAAACTAAACTAGACGAACGTCATCTCATCAGACATATTAGAAGCATCGGCCGCCTAGCAGTCCGCCTACGTTCTCTAACCTCTCCAATCATAGTATCTAATCGCCCTACATCCTAATCATAACAATACTCATAACATCTACTAAGACTACAACTACCCACATCCTTCCTCGCTCACATCTCCACTCACACTCCCTCCATCCCCTCTACCTCCTCCTTCTCCACTCCCCTCTCTCCACCCTCCTATCCTCACTGCCCCGCTATCACCTCCCGCTCCTCCCATCTCCTCTCCTGCTCTCCCTCCACTCCCCTCCTCTCCTCAACTCCCTCTCCTCCTCTCCTCCTCTCCTCCCTCTCTCCTCACCATCTCCTCTCCCTCTCTCCCTCCTCTCTCGCCTCCTCTTCCCCTCCCCCTCCTCCTCACTCCCCTCCTCTCCCTCCTCCTCCCCTCCTCCCCCTCCGCCTCCTCCCCTCCTCTTCCCCCCTCTCTCACACTCCCCTCCTCTCCCTCCTCTCCACTCCCCTCTACCTCCTCCCCCTCCTCCTCTCTCCCCTCTCCTCCCTCTCTCCCTCTCTCTCCCCTCCTCCTCCTCCCTCTCCCTCTCCCCTCTCCTCCTCTCCCCTCTCCTCCCCCTCTCCTCTCCTCCCTCTCCCTCCTCTCCCTCCTCCCTCTCTCCTCCCTCCTCCCTCCTCCTCTCTCCTCCCCTCTCCTCTCCTCTCCCTCTCCCCCTCCTCTCCCCTCCTCCTCCTCTCCTCCCCTCTCCTCTCTCCCCCCTCTCTCCTCTCCTCCCCTCTCCTCCTCCCTCTCTCCTCTCTCCCTCCTCCTCCCCTCTCCTCTCTCCTCCTCTCCCCTCTCCCTCCTCTCCTCCTCCTCCTCCCTCCTCTCCTCTCCCCTCTCCTCCTCCCTCCTCTCCTCCTCCCTCCCCTCTCCTCCCTCTCCTCCCTCCTCTCTCCCTCTCTCCCTCTCCCTCCCTCTCCCCCTCCCTCTCTCCTCTCCTCCCTCCTCCTCCCCTCCTCTCACTCCCCTCTCTCCCTCCTCTCCCTCCTCCTCCCCTCCTCCCCTCCTCTCCCTCCCTCTCCTCTCTCCCCCTCCTCTCCTCTCTCCCCTCCTCTCCCTCCCTCTCTCCCCTCCTCCCTCTCTCCCTCCCCTCTCCTCCCCTCTCCCTCCCTCTCCTCCTCTCCCCTCCTCCCTCTCCCCTCCTCCCTCTCTCCCCTCCTCCCTCCTCTCTCCCCTCCTCTCCTCCTCTCCCTCCCCTCCTCCCCTCTCCTCCTCTCCTCCCCTCTCTCCTCTCCTCCTCTCCCTCCCTCCTCTCCCTCCTCTCCCTCCTCCCTCTCCCCTCCCTCTCCCTCCTCTCCCTCCTCCCCTCTCTCCCTCTCCTCCTCCCCTCTCTCCCTCCTCTCCCTCCCTCCTCCCTCTCCTCCTCCTCTCCTCCCCTCTCCCTCTCCCCCTCCTCCCCTCCTCTCCTCCCCTCCTCCTCCCTCCCCCTCTCTCCCTCTCCTCCTCCTCCCTCCCCTCTCTCCCCTCCTCCTCTCCCCTCCTCTCCCCTCCTCCTCCTCTCCTCCTCTCCCCTCCTCTCTCCCCCCTCCTCTCCCTCCTCTCCCCTCCTCCTCTCCCCTCCCTCTCCTCTCCTCCCTCTCCCTCCTCCCTCCCCTCTCTCCTCCTCCCCTCTCCTCCCCTCTCCCTCCCTCCTCTCTCCCCTCCTCTCCTCTCTCCTCCCCCTCTCTCCCTCCCCTCTCTCTCCTCCCCTCTCCTCCTCCCCCTCTCCCTCCTCTCTCTCCCCTCCTCTCCCTCCTCTCTCCTCCCTCTCTCCTCCCCCTCCTCTCCTCCCTCTCCCTCTCCTCCTCTCTCCTCCCCCTCTCTCCTCCTCTCCTCCCCTCTCTCCTCCCTCCTCCTCTCCCTCTCCCTCCTCCCTCTCCTCTCTCCCTCCTCCCTCTCCTCCTCCTCCTCCTCTCCTCTCCCCTCTCTCCTCCCTCCCTCTCCCTCCCCTCCTCTCCCTCCCCCTCCTCCTCTCTCTCCCCTCCCTCTCCCTCTCCCTCCCTCCTCCCCTCTCCTCTCCCTCCCCTCTCTCTCCCTCCCCTCCTCCCTCTCCCCCTCTCCCTCCCTCTCCTCCCTCTCTCCCTCCCCTCCTCCTCTCTCCCTCCTCTCCCCCTCCTCTCTCTCCCTCCCCTCTCCTCCCCCTCTCCTCCCCTCCCTCTCCTCCCCTCTCTCCTCCCCTCCCTCCTCCCTCCCCCTCTCTCCTCCTCTCCCCCTCTCTCCTCCCCCTCTCCCTCCTCTCCCTCCTCCCTCTCCTCCCCTCTCCCTCCTCCCCTCTCCTCTCCCTCCTCTCCTCCCCCTCTCCCTCCTCCCTCCTCTCTCCCTCCCTCTCCCCTCCCCTCTCCTCCTCTCCCCTCCTCTCCTCCTCCCTCCTCCCCTCCCTCTCCTCCTCTCTCCCCCCTCCTCTCTCTCCTCTCCTCCTCCCCTCTCTCTCCCCCTCCCTCTCCTCCCTCTCTCCTCCTCTCCCTCCCTCCTCTCCTCTCCCCTCCCTCCTCTCCTCCCCTCCTCTCCCTCTCCTCCCCTCTCCTCCTCTCCTCCTCCCCTCTCTCCCTCCCCTCTCTCTCCTCTCCCTCCTCCCCCTCTCTCCTCCCTCCTCCTCCTCTCCCCCTCCTCTCCCTCCTCTCCCCTCCTCTCTCCTCCCCTCTCCTCCCTCCTCCCCTCTCCTCTCCCCTCCTCCCCTCTCTCCTCCCTCTCCTCTCTCTCCCCTCCCTCTCCCCCTCCCTCTCCTCCTCTCCTCCTCTCCCTCCCTCTCTCCTCCCCTCCTCCTCCCTCCCCTCTCTCTCCCTCTCCTCTCTCCCCCTCCTCCCCTCCTCCTCTCTCCCTCCTCCTCTCCTCTCCCTCCTCTCCCCCCTCTCCTCCCTCTCTCCTCCCCTCTCTCCCCCTCCTCCTCTCCTCCCCTCTCCCTCCCCTCCTCCCTCTCCCCCTCTCCCTCCTCCTCTCCTCCCCTCTCTCCTCCTCTCCCTCTCTCTCCTCCTCCCCTCCTCCTCCCCTCTCCTCTCCTCCCCTCTCCTCCTCTCTCCTCCCCTCTCTCCCCTCCTCTCCTCCTCCCCTCTCTCCCTCCTCTCCTCTCCTCCCCTCTCTCCTCCCTCTCCTCTCTCCTCCCCTCTCTCTCCTCCTCTCTCCTCCTCTCCCTCCCTCTCTCCCCTCCTCTCTCCTCTCTCCCCTCCCTCCTCCCTCCTCTCTCCCTCCCTCTCTCCTCCCCCTCCCCTCCTCCTCCTCCCTCTCTCTCCCTCCTCCTCTCCTCCTCCCTCTCCTCTCTCCTCCTCCCTCCCCTCTCTCTCCCTCCCTCCTCTCCCCTCCTCTCCTCCCTCTCCTCTCCTCCCCTCCTCTCTCCCTCCTTCTCTCCTCCCCTCTCTCCCCTCCCTCTCTCCCTCCCCTCTCTCTCCCTCCTCTCTCCTCTCTCCCCTCTCTCCTCCCTCCCTCCTCTCCTCCCCTCTCTCTCCCTCCTCCTCTCCTCTCCCCCTCTCCTCCTCCTCTCCTCTCCCTCCCCTCTCCTCCCCCCTCCTCTCTCTCCTCCCTCTCTCCCCTCTCTCCCTCCCCTCTCTCCCTCTCCCTCTCCTCCCTCCTCTCTCCTCCCTCCTCTCCCCTCCTCTCTCCCTCCTCTCCCTCCCTCCTCCTCTCCCTCCTCTCTCTCCTCCCCCTCTCCCTCCTCCCTCTCCTCTCCTCTCTCCCTCCCCCTCTCCTCCTCCCCTCTCTCCCTCCTCCTCTCCTCCTCTCTCCCCCCTCTCTCCCTCCTCCTCTCCTCCTCTCTCCCTCCTCCTCCCCTCTCTCTCCCTCCTCCCCTCCCTCTCTCCTCCCCTCTCTCCCTCCTCTCTCCTCCTCCCCTCTCTCCCCTCTCCTCTCCTCCTCTCCCTCTCCTCCCCTCTCCTCCTCCCCTCTCCTCTCCTCTCCCTCTCTCCCTCCTCTCCTCCTCCTCCTCTCTCTCCCCTCCTCCCTCCTCCCTCTCTCCCTCCTCTCCCTCCTCCCTCCTCTCTCCCTCCTTCTCTCACCCCTCCCCTCTCTCTCCCCTCCTTCTCTCACTCCCCTCTCTCTCCCTCCTTCTCTCACTCCCCTCTCTCCCCCTCCTTCTCTCACTCCCCCTCTCTCTCACTCCTTCTCTCACTCCCCTCTCTCCCTCCTCTCCTCTCACTCCCTCTCTCCCTCCTTCTCTCACTCCTCTCTCTCCCTCCTTCTCTCACTCCCCTCTCTCCCCCTCCTTCTCTCACTCCCCTCTCTACATCCCTCCTTCTCTCACTCCCCTCTCTCTCCCTTCTCTCCCTCCCCTCTCACTCCCCCCTCCTCTCTCTCACTCCCCCTCTCTCTCACTCCTTCTCTCACTCCCTTCTCTCCCTCCCCCTCCTCCCTCCTCACTCCCACTCTCTCTCTCCCATCCTTCTCTCACTCCCCTCTCTCTCCCTCCTCTCTCACTCCCCTCCTCTCTCCCTCCTTCTCTCACTCCCATCTCTCCCTCCCTCCTTCTCTCACTCTCCCCTCTCTCTCCCTCCTTCTCTCACTCCCCCCTCTCTCTCCCTCCTTCTCTCACTCCCCTCCTCTCTCCCCCTCCTTCTCTCACTCCCCTCTCTCTCCCTCCTTCTCTCTAATCCCTCGCCTCCCTCCTCTCTCCTCTCCCTCTCTCTCCCTCCTCCCTCTCACTCCCCTCTCTCTCCCCCCCTCTCCCTCCTTCTCTCACGCCCCTCTCTCTCCCCCTCCTCTCTCACTCCCCTCTCTCTCCCTCCTTCTCTCACTAGCCCCTCTCTCACTCTCCTTCTCTCACTCCCCTCTCTCCCTCCTCCTTCTCTCTCACTCCCCTCCTCTCTCCCTCCTTCTCTCACTCCCCTCTCTCTTCTCCTTCCCTCCTCCCCTCTCTCCACTAAAATCCTTCTCTCACTCCCCTCCTCTCCCCCTCCTCTCTCCCTCCCCTCTCCCCTCTTCTCTCACTGAAACAGTAACGAAAACCCTCTCTCTCCCTCCTCCTCTCACTCCCCTCTCTCTCACTCGGCCTCCGTCTCTCCTTCCCCTCCTCTCCCCCCTCCTTTTCTCTCACTCCCCTCTCCTCCCTCCTGTCTCTCACTCCCCTACTCTCTCCCTCCTTTCTCTCCCTCCCCTCTCTCTCTCCCTCCCCTCTCTCACCCCCTCTCTCAATCCCCTCGTCCTCTCCTCCCCTCTCCTTCTCCTCTCTCCTCTCGCCCCCTCTCTCCCTCCTTCTCTCCCTCCCTCATCTCCCTCCTCCTTCTCTCACTCCCATCTCGTCTCTCCCCTCCTCTCTCCGTCACTCCCCTCTCTCTCCCTCCTTCATCTCACTCCCCTCGTCTCTCCCTCCTTCCTCTCACTCCCCTCTCCTCCCTCCTCCTCTCTCTCCCCTCTCTCACCCCTCCTCTCTCACTCCCCTCTCTCTCCCTCCTTCTCTCACTCCCCTCTCTCCCTCCTCTCTCCCTCACTCTCCCCTCTCTCTCCCCCCCTCCTTCTCTCACTCCCCTCTCTCCCCCTCCTTCTCTCTCACTCCCCTCTCTCTCCTCCTTCTCTCACTCCCCTCTCTCTCCCTCCTTCTCTCACTCCCCTCTCTCCCCCTCCTTCTCTCACTCCCCTCTCTCCCCTCCTTCTCTCACTCCCCTCTCTCTCCCTCCTTCTCTCACTCCCCTCTCTCTCCCTCCTTCTCTCACTCCCCTCTCTCCCCCTCCTTCTCTCACTCACTCCCTCTCTCTCCCTCCTTCTCTCACTCCCCTCTCTCCCCTCCTTCTCTCACTCCCCTCTCTCACTCCCTCCTTCTCTCACTCCCCCTCTCTCTCCCTCCTTCTCTCACACTCCCCTCTCTCCTCCCTCCTTCTCTCACTCCCCTCTCTCTCCCTCCTTCTCTCACTCCCCTCTCTCCCCTCCTTCTCTCACTCCCCTCCCCTCTCTCCCCCTCCTTCTCTCACTCCCCTCTCTCCCTCCTTCTCTCACTCCCCTCTCTCCCCCTCCTTCTCTCACTCCCCTCTCTCTCCCTCCTTCTCTCACTCCCCTCTCTCCCTCCTTCTCTCACTCCCCTCTCTCCCCTCCTTCTCTCACTCCCCTCTCTCCCCCTCCTTCTCTCACTCCCCTCTCTCCCCCTCCTTCTCTCACTCACCCCCTCTCTCCCTCCTTCTCTCACTCCCCCTCTCTCCCCCTCCTTCTCTCACTCCCCCTCTCTCCCCCTCCTTCTCTCACTCCCCTCTCTCCCCCTCCTTCTCTCACTCCCCTCTCTCCCTCCTTCTCTCACTCCCTCTCTCTCCCTCCTTCTCTCACTCCCCTCTCTCCCCCTCCTTCTCTCACTCCCCTCTCTCCCCCTCCTTCTCTCACCCCTCTCTCTCTCCTCTCTCACCCCCTCTCTCCCCCTCCTTCTCTCACTCCCCTCTCTCCCCCTCCTTCTCTCACTCCCCTCTCTCCCCCTCCTTCTCTCACTCCCCTCTCTCCCCCTCCTTCTCTCACTCCCCTCTCTCCCTCCTTCTCTCACTCCCCTCTCTCTCCCTCCTTCTCTCACTCCCCTCTCTCCCCTCCTTCTCTCACTCCCCTCTCTCTCCCCCTCCTTCTCTCACTCCCCTCTCTCCCCCTCCTTCTCTCACTCCCCTCTCTCCCCCTCCTTCTCTCACTCCCCTCTCTCCCCCTCCTTCTCTCACTCCCCTCTCTCCCCCTCCTTCTCTCACTCCCCTCTCTCTCCCCTCCTTCTCTCACTCCCCTCTCTCCCCTCCTTCTCACTCCCCTCTCTCCCCTCCTTCTCTCACTCCCCCTCTCTCCCCCTCCTTCTCTCACTCCCCTCTCTCCCCTCCTTCTCTCACTCCCCCTCTCTCCCTCCTTCTCTCACTCCCCTCTCTCCCCCTCCTTCTCTCACTCCCCTCTCTCCCCCTCCTTCTCTCACCCCTCTCTCCCTCCTCCTTCTCTCACTCCCCTCTCTCCCCCTCCTTCTCTCACTCCCCTCTCTCCCCCTCCTTCTCTCACTCCCCTCTCTCCCCTCCTTCTCTCACTCCCCTCTCTCCCCCTCCTTCTCTCACTCCCCTCTCTCCCCCTCCTTCTCTCACTCCCCTCTCTCTCCCTCCTTCTCTCACTCCCCTCTCTCCCCTCCTTCTCTCCTCCCCTCTCTCCTCTCCCTCCTTCTCCTCACTCCCCTCTCTCTCCCCTCCTTCTCTCACTCCCCCTCTCTCTCCCTCCTTCTCTCACTCCCCTCTCTCTCCCTCCTTCTCTCACTCCCCTCTCTCCCCTCCTTCTCTCACTCCCCTCTCTCTCCCTCCTTCTCTCACTCCCTCTCTCTCCCCCTCCTTCTCTCACTCCCCTCTCTCCCCTCCTTCTCTCACTCCCCTCTCCCCCTCCTTCTCTCACTCCCCTCTCTCCCCTCCTCTCTCACACTCCCCTCTCTCCCCCTCCTTCTCTCACTCCCCTCCTCTCCTCTCCTCCTTCTCTCACTCCCCTCTCTCCCCTCCTTCTCTCACTCCCCTCTCTCTCCCCTCCTTCTCTCACTCCCCTCTCACTCTCCTCCCTCCTTCTCTCACTCCCCTCTCTCTCCCCTCCTTCTCTCACTCCCCTCTCTCTCCCCCTCCTTCTCTCACTCCCCTCTCTCCCTCCTTCTCTCACTCCCCTCTCTCTCACTCCTTCTCTCACTCCCCTCTCTCTCCCTCCTTCTCTCACTCCCCTCTCTCTCACTCCTCCTCTCTCACTCCCCTCTCTCCCCTCCTTCTCTCACTCCCCTCTCTCTCACTCCTTCTCTCACTCCCCTCTCTCTCCCCTCCTCTCACTCCTCACTCCCCTCTCTCACTCCCTCCTTCTCTCACTCCCCCTCTCTCCCTCCTTCTCTCACTCCCTCTCTCTCCCTCCTTCTCTCACTCCCCTCTCTCCCTCCTTCTCTCACTCCCCTCTCTCCCCTCCTTCTCTCACTCCCCTCTCTCCCTCCTTCTCTCACTCCCCTCTCTCCCCTCCTTCTCTCACTCCCCTCTCTCCCCCTCCTTCTCTCACTCCCCCTCTCTCCCCCTCCTTCTCTCACTCCCCTCCTCTCCCCCTCCTTCTCTCACTCCCCTCTCTCTCCCTCCTTCTCTCACTCCCCTCTCTCTCCCTCCTTCTCTCACTCCCCTCTCTCTCCCTCCTTCTCTCACTCCCCTCTCTCTCCCTCCTTCTCTCACTCCCCTCTCTCCCCTCCTTCTCTCACTCCCCTCTCTCCCTCCTCTCCCTCCCCTCTCTCCCACTCCCCCCTCTCCCCCTCCTTCTCTCACTCCCCTCTCTCCCCCTCCTTCTCTCACTCCTTCTCTCACTCCCCTCTCTCTCCCCTCCCTTCTCTCACTCCCCTCTCTCTCTCACTCCTTCTCTCACTCCCCTCTCTCCCCCTCCTTCTCTCACTCCCCTCTCTCTCCCTCCTTCTCTCACTCCCCTCTCTCTCCCTCCTTCTCTCACTCCCCTCTCTCTCCCTCCTTCTCTCACTCCCCTCTCTCTCCTCCTTCTCTCACTCCCCTCTCTCCCCCTCCTTCTCTCACTCCCCTCTCTCCCCCTCCTTCTCTCACTCCCCTCTCTCCCCCTCCTTCTCTCACTCCCCTCTCTCCCCTCCTTCTCTCACTCCCCTCTCTCTCACTCCTTCTCTCACTCCCCTCTCTCCCCCTCCTTCTCTCACTCCCCTCTCTCCCCCTCCTTCTCTCACTCCCCTCTCTCTCACTCCTTCTCTCACTCCCCTCTCTCTCCCTCCTTCTCTCACTCCCCTCTCTCACTCCCCTCTCTCCCCCTCCTTCTCTCACTCCCCTCTCTCTCACTCTCCGTCTTACCCTAGAGCGGGGGTGTCAAACTCATTTTGATCTGGGGGCCACACACAACCTAATTGCATCTCAACTGGGCCGGACCAGGAGATTATTCGCAAAAATATCTAAAAAAAGACACATTTATTTAAAATGTCCTTTAAACACTGTCCTTTAATACGCACTCAGTTTTATCTGTAAATCTGTGACTAACTGAAATGTAGTAGTGAGTTTTTCATAGTGCAGATAAAGCATTTACAATATTACATTGTAAACGGAATTTCACAATATTTATATCAGTGTGTGTGTTAGCTTTGAGTGCAGCTTTGGTGTATTAAGGGTCATTACAGAGAAAACACAAAATTATAGCTTTAACACAGCACCTCAACTTAACCATCTTCAGTGTGGTAAGGTCCATGGTTATGTTATTATCACAGAGAAAGCATCAAACTGACCATGATTCAGTTGAAATGAACAAAACCACTTCCATAACGTGATCCATTCTGAACGACTGCAGCAGTGTCTCTGTGTGAAACACAGTCAAATGTCCAAATATCATCACCTCCATTTGGGGCTTTGTCATAACACCTGCCTTTACCATATGTACCAGGTAGACAGTGGGACCAGTCCATGCTGTCCAACGCTCCACCAGCAGCAGCATTAGCAACAGCGCTGATATGTCATTTTTCCACAGTCACTGTACGGTTCGGCACGGTACGGCACGGCACGGCACGGCACGGCGCGTTTATTGCATTTCCACTAGGGTTGGGCTTGGGATAAGGGTACATTTTTTATACTACCTCGACATTACGTGACGTCAGCCGACTACCTTACACTGATTGGTCAATGAGTGTCGTCACTGGAGGCGACGCCCGACCCTATGATAAAAACAACTCAACCCCGCCATTTTAAAAACCGGCCGCTCTGCTATAACCGTGGATCTATAATGGGCTATATATGAGGAGGACGAGAAATGGAATCGCACAGAAAGACCCAAACTCAACGTCCTGGTCGCTCGACGAGGTCCACACGTTTCTCTCTTTAGGCCGAAGAAAGAATTCAAAGGCAGCTCTTCGGCTCAACACGGAATGAGAAGGTTTTCAGGGAGATCGCTCTTGATTTGTGACTAGTTTGTGGTAATCCTGGAAATAACTGGTGTATGTATCCTGTTGGCCCAAAGCTCTCACTGAAATGTGTTTACTCGTGTAGAAGTTTGACTGTTGTTCACAGTGAGCTAGCTACATTTAGCTATCGATAGCAGCTAAGCTAACGTCCTCCCTGTGCTACTGTGCTGTATCTTGCTCTTTCGCGTGTTTCTGTTTTGTGCTTGTACTTAAGTTGTTGTGTGTATATTTATTTGATTGAGAATCACTTCCCACTAGGGTTTAATCCCGGGACACGAGATTCCCGGGAAATCTGATCAAAACTATTTCCCGATTCCCGGGAAATGTTATGACGGGAAACGGGAAATGAAAGTTTAAAAAAAAAATCCAGTGCGCTCCTATTATAGAGCACGTTTATTGTTGTTCAAAGTTGAAACATATTTCATTTACAATCAACATGTCTACAGCTGAGAGGATGGCTCATAAATTGTGTTTTTGAAACAAATATGGGTCTTAATCGCGCTAAACCACGACTTGTAATGAGGCCAGCCTCAGGGTACGGGGCACATGTGAGCCCAGAATTTGGTTACGTCCAATTCTATCAGAAAGCTCCTTTCTTTTTTTCCATCTGCTAAGGGCAGCAACAGGTTTGGCTAACATACATATAACACATTTTAAGATCATATAAAATGCATTTAGGGTAATGCTCTGCTTCCAATGACGATAGGAATGCTAAGGAAGAGAGGAGAAGGGTAAGAAGGTTGATATTAGAAATTGGATGCGCCCGAGAGCCGGCTGCAGCGAAAACACAGGAGTTTATGGAGGAGGCACCCGTTTTGTTTTACGCTTTAAAACTCTTTGGGCTTATTTACAAATGGGGGATTACATATCTGCGCTCAAACTATTATCTGTGCTGTTCATTAATAACTAAGGTAAGACCCATAACACAATTGGAAATGTGCCTTTTACGAACTTTTGCGTTTTGTTTGAGCAAACAATGCGGGCCATGGAAAACATTCTGCTGTAGCCAAACTAATTGTGAATAAGCCGCTTTGTAGGTTCTGTTGATTTATATGATATATGTTCATCTGACAGGGCTGAATCCAGTGCCTCCAAACCACACCGCACGTCACTGGTCGACAAGTGGATTGGGCAGACATTTAGAATCTCATAATAGTGAAATTCCTGAAGAAAGCCCATCAACAAAACGTGTGAAAACGCTACGGCTACTTTAGCAAAGCTAGCAAGTCGCTCGGTGAAACACTAGTGGAGACGGCAGCTTTTGTTGGATTATATGTTTGAGTGATATCATACATTACTTGGGCTAAAAACAACAACTACAAACAACAGCTATTTCCCGGGATTTCCCGGGAAAGGCGTTGTCTTTTCCCGGGATTTAATACGTCTCATTTTCGGGAAAAATATTAAACCCTACTTCCCACAAGTGAGGAGATTACAAACGAGCAATGACCACTCGTCCCCTCACCTGGAAAAAGTTACGATATCCTACCATATACTTTTACTTCTATTTATATTACATTTATATTTGTCAGTAAATCTGTATAACCATGGTAAATTTATGAACGAGGATGGAGACATATTTGCTAAATACAAAAAGGTTTAATTTTTGGTCAAACCACAAGGGCAAAATAAATGTTTAGGCAGATGATTTTTATCATATATTACAATATTACATAATACTTTTTTACTTCCGCTCACTCCTTTTTAGAGTTGATACTTAGTCATTTAAAATACATGTACAAGATATTGTAAATCTAAGTTATGTATTGATCTCAATTTCAAATGACAAAAAGTGACGCATCAGACGGACCAATGTGACTAGAGTCTGACAACCCTTCCCACGCTGAGGAGATACTTGGTACCATTTTCATGGAAAAGCACCCACACTCGGCCGTACCGCGCCGTACTGTGACTATGGAAAATCGGCAATAGTGTCCTCAGCTGTTGGGTATCCAACACAGGCACCAAAACTAAAATCTCCTCTTTGATGGTCAAAGTTTCAGTAACACCACGAATGAATTTGCAACATTTGTAAGATCAGTCTCTCATCAATGGCAACAGAAGATGCCACACACGACTTCAATCTGTAGCTAGTTCTGAAAATCCTTTCTGCTGCACCTGGACAGGCTGATGTTGGTAAAAGTGTGTCGTTTCTCAGGATACACCATGTCTGCAGCCTGTATGACAGTTTTGACAAACTTGCCTTCACAGTTCGGCTTTGATGATAATGCTATGTTGTTAGCACTCAGGTAGCTTCCCTTTACAGCTGCATCACTAACCTCTCTGTCTGGGCACAAACAGACTGCTGTTTCTTCAGGGCCAGGCACGTTTATCTTCTATCTTCTAAAATTTCCTCTCATATTTCCATATTTTTTGCAGAGACTCCTAGTTTAAGATGATATTCCTTCAGCACCTGTTGCATGCACACCAAGCATACTGGTTGTTTCATTCACGTCCGCGAACGTATAAGAAATAGTCCACTTTTCTTGAAAAAGTGGACTGACTCGATGTCCACTTTTTCCCTTTTGACAGAGAAATTTTTCTGAGGGTGTCACTGTCAGTCACAGAAAGAAGCCCGTCCTGTCGGGAGCCACTACACCCATTTATAATGAGCTAAGCATAGCGGCGCAGATTCTTTTTTTTTTTTATTATTATTATCATTTTACATAAATGTTCCGCGTGCCTGCAGCATAATTGACACCCCTGCGCTAGAGCACAAATGAATATCTTGTATGTAAGAGAATATGACTGCATGAATCACTTTAAAACAGCTTTGAGTGTGTGAATTACAAGGGAAACTACCATAACTGGATTAGAAATGTACATTTTAATATTATGTCCTCATAATGGGCCTTATGCTAGGTTCAACAGTAAAATGCATTTGAACCTAACTGGAGTGGTCTGGCTTCCTCCGTAGAAAGTGACTTGGTGCCACGTGGTGATGAAAACCCAAGTGGCGGTGAAAGCGGGCATGTTCTTGAAGTACTTGCGGACGTCCTGCGTGGCCTTCTCCAGCAGCTCTGGCTCGGTGCTTTCCCTGTAGTAAACATCGCCCCTGATCCCATTGTGCACATCAGCCCACAGCGGAGCAATGAAGGAGCGGCTGTCGCTGAGCGGGAAGGCCTCCGGCGTGAACTGGCTTACCTGAACGTTGAAGGAAATCACGCCGTTGTTATTTACCTGTGGGCCAAAAAGGATGTTAGCATTCAGTGCAGCTCACAGTACAGTATAATGCAGAAAAAGCAACTTACGTAGACTGTGCGATACGGGATATTGAAGTAAACAAAAGAAATACTCAATGTGATCTCAGCTGAACTTCCATCGTCCATCTTTGGGGTTTCTAGATCCCTATGCTCGGGTCCAAAGGGATACAGGATTTCCTGAGTATTTCCTGCATACCCAAAGACAGATGTCAGGTGTGCAGACACATTACATTTTCCATAAATGGAAAACATCAAATTTAAAATCACTGAACTGGCCTCTCAAAGTATAGAATCAACGATGAAGTTCTGATTTTCCTCCCATCGTGTCAGTATCTGACCATTATCTCATGGGCATTGGAACACATATGTTTTAAATATTATTTGATTCTCTGATCTCTGTTGGCTATTTCAACGGTTTATGAAGTCCTCTTAGATAACTACTGTTGTGATTTAGGGCTATACAAGAATAAATTGAATTGAATTGAATTTGAATATTAGCATGCACATTTCCTATGGATAAAACCAGGTCTTGCAGTACCTGCTGTTCCGGCAAACATACTGAAGATGTGAAGCAGCAGGACCGGAAAGCGTCGCCTGACCATTCTGAAACAACAAAATGTTTAATACAGAAGTAAACACAGTCTCATAAGTCACTTTCAATAGGCATAGTTCTTGGGGAGGGAACTGTTTGAACCGGACCTAGATTATCCGATGAGGGAACTGTATGATCAGTATGAAGGTAAATCCCCCCCTCTGTACTTCTATAAATAATTCACAAATGTGTGTCATAAAAATTGGAAGTAGCAGATTATTGTTTCAGTAGTTTACGGAGTGGTTTAGGGAGTTCAGCCGATAGGCAAAGCTCTCAATTTACCGGTCAATCTTCGTTCCCTCCCTCACCTATGGTCATGAGCTTTGGGTAATGACCGAAAGAACGAGATCACGGATACAAGCGGTCGAAATGAGCTTCCTCCGCAGAGTGGCTGCTCCCTTAGAGATAGGGTGAGGAGCTCAGTCACACGGGAGGAGCTGTGTGACTGAGGACTGTTCAGTACAGACGCACAGACTGCTCAGTACAGACGCACAGACTGCTCAGTACAGACGCACAGACTGCTCAGTACAGACGCACAGACTGCTCTGTAGAGACGCACGGACTGCTCTGTAGAGACACAAGGACTGCTCTGTAGAGACGCACGGACTGCTCAGTACAGACGCACAGACTGCTCAGTACAGACGCACAGACTGCTCTGTAGAGACGCACGGACTGCTCAGTACAGACGCACAGACTGCTCTGTAGAGACGCACGGACTGCTCTGTAGAGACACAAGGACTGCTCTGTAGAGACGCACAGACTGCTCTGTAGAGACACACAGACTGCTCAGTAGAGACGCACAGACTGCTCAGTAGAGACGCACAGACTGCTCAGTACAGACGCACAGACTGCTCTGTAGAGACGCACGGACTGCTCTGTAGAGACACAAGGACTGCTCTGTAGAGACGCACAGACTGCTCTGTAGAGACACACAGACTGCTCAGTAGAGACGCACAGACTGTTCAGTAGAGACGCACAGACTGCTCTGTAGAGACGCACGGACTGCTCTGTAGAGACACAAGGACTGCTCTGTAGAGACGCACGGACTGCTCAGTACAGACGCACAGACTGCTCAGTAGAGACGCACGGACTGCTCTGTAGAGACGCACGGACTGCTCTGTAGAGACACACAGACTGTTCAGTAGAGACACACAGACTGTTCAGTAGAGACGCACGGACTGCTCTGTAGAGACGCACAGACTGCTCAGTAGAGACGCACAGACTGCTCAGTAGAGACGCACAGACTGTTCAGTAGAGACGCACAGACTGTTCAGTAGAGACGCACAGACTGTTCAGTAGAGACGCACAGACTGTTCAGTAGAGACGCACGGACTGTTCAGTAGAGACGCACAGACTGTTCAGTAGAGACACACAGACTGTTCAGTAGAGACGCACAGACTGTTCAGTAGAGACGCACAGACTGTTCAGTAGAGACGCACAGACTGTTCAGTAGAGACGCACAGACTGTTCAGTAGAGACACACAGACTGTTCAGTACAGACGCACAGACTGCTCTGTAGAGACGCACAGACTGCTCTGTAGAGACGCACGGACTGCTCAGTAGAGACACACAGACTGTTCTGTAGAGACGCACAGACTGCTCTGTACAGACGCACAGACTGTTCAGTAGAGACGCACAGACTGTTCTGTAGAGACGCACAGACTGCTCAGTAGAGACGCACGGACTGTTCTGTAGAGACGCACAGACTGTTCAGTAGAGACGCACAGACTGCTCTGTAGAGACGCACAGACTGTTCAGTAGAGACGCACAGACTGCTCTGTACAGACGCACAGACTGCTCAGTAGAGACGCACAGACTGTTCAGTAGAGACGCACGGACTGCTCAGTAGAGACGCACAGACTGTTCAGTAGAGACGCACAGACTGTTCAGTAGAGACGCACAGACTGTTCAGTAGAGACGGCTCAGTAGAGACGCACAGACTGTTCAGTAGAGACGCACAGACTGTTCAGTAGAGACGCACAGACTGCTCTGTAGAGACGCACAGACTGCTCAGTAGAGACGCACAGACTGCTCAGTAGAGACGCACGGACTGCTCAGTAGAGACGCACAGACTGTTCAGTAGAGACGCACAGACTGTTCAGTAGAGACGCACAGATGCTCTGTAAGACGCACAGACTCAGTAGAGACGCACAGACTGCTCAGTAGAGACGCACAGACTGTTCAGTAGAGACGCACGGACTGTTCTGTAGAGACGCACGGACTGTTCAGTAGAGACGCACAGACTGTTCAGTAGAGACGCACAGACTGTTCAGTAGAGACGCACAGACTGTTCTGTAGAGACGCACAGACTGTTCTGTAGAGACGCACAGACTGTTCAGTAGAGACGCACAGACTGTTCAGTAGAGACGCACAGACTGTTCAGTAGAGACGCACAGACTGCTCAGTAGAGACGCACGGACTGCTCAGTAGAGACGCACAGACTGCTCTGTAGAGACGCACAGACTGTTCTGTAGAGACGCACAGACTGCTCTGTAGAGACGCACAGACTGCTCTGTAGAGACGCACAGACTGCTCAGTAGAGACGCACAGACTGTTCAGTAGAGACGCACAGACTGTTCAGTAGAGACGCACAGACTGTTCAGTAGAGACGCACAGACTGTTCAGTAGAGACGCACAGACTGCTCAGTAGAGACGCACAGACTGTTCAGTAGAGACGCACAGACTGTTCAGTAGAGACGCACAGACTGTTCAGTAGAGACGCACAGACTGTTCAGTAGAGACGCACAGACTGTTCAGTAGAGACGCACAGACTGTTCAGTAGAGACGCACAGACTGTTCAGTAGAGACGCACAGACTGTTCAGTACAGACGCACAGACTGCGTGGGGAAGTCAAAGGGGAGGAGCAGGAGCGGAAAATCGACGCACGCAGGAGATAAACTTTGCTCAACCTTTCCTCGGGACGTTCGTGCAGCGACCAATCAGAGAGCCGCAAAGTGGTCACGGGGACATTTGCGGACTGAGCGAGCAGACTGAACATACTGTAAACAGCCAAAACAGGAGCTACACCAGGACTAAACCAGGACTAAACCAGGACTAAACCAGGACTAAACCAGGGTTGACAATGGGGGACTCTGTGCTTGTGAACATATGCGTTGTCATGCTCCCTTGACTTTATGAAACTGCTTCGAGTGTGTTCACCGATGCGGAAATACTGTTTAATACTAAAATAAACTTATTGCGCACCTCGGTGAACACAATACTGTTATATAAAGTCTGTGGAAGGTCTCTGAACACAGACACACTGCAAAGCTGCATATTGGAGAAGATCCGTACACAAGAAGCCGCTAGCTAAACTCTGTTAGCGCTTCTTCCGCCACTTCCGGCGCTTGCCAGGACGTTCTGGTGTGAAGGCCCGTGCATCTGAACACTAGAGAATGTGAGTCTGGTGAGCGAGGCTTAAGCGTTTGAGCTCTCAGCTGGCCTGGGAACGCCTTGGGGTCCCCCCGGACGAGCTGGAGGAGGTGTGTGTGGATAGGGAAGTCTGGGCGTCTCTGCTTAGACTGCTGCCCCCGCGACCCGGCAACGGATGAAGTGTAAGAAGATGGAATGGAATGGTTTACGGATGTCTTATTACAGGTACACAAATCTCAAGCCACACTTAACAAATTACAAGTTTTTCATACTCATGGTTTGGCTCCCATCAACAAAGTATGTCAAGAGTAAAAAAACATTGTGCACAAAAGTAATAAATGTTTATTACATCATTTCTAGTAAATTATTGTTTTTGGTTCTGCAAAAAACAACACAGATTTGACATGTAAACAGAATTCTTATTACAGATACACAAATCTTGTTCTGTGCATCACAAGTTGAAACAATTGCACACTTACAGTTTTGCTCATACCACTGTTCTAGCAGGTGCAAAACACATTTGTGCATCTGTGTTTTACAATGTGAGCACATTAAACATTAAACCATCTTGTGAAATGAGGCAACATAAGTTGGACACAAGTTGGTACAAAGACATTATACCAGGACTGAGACAAGGGGACATAGTACTCATGGACATATGTCTTCACGTTCTTCTGTGATTGGACACAATCGTGGAGAGAATGAAGGTCCGGTACTCCTGTAATCTGACTTCTCTGGAGGACCTCTGGGCCCAGACAAACGCTGCAGTGTACAACCCTGAACTGCAGGTCATGGAGACGGCGCTTCAATCATAACACAGTCTCTACATTCAAGGCCAGGCTTAAAACAGTCCTCTTCAATTTAGTATATGGTTAGGTTGGTAAGACACAGGGAAGACTTAAAATCTTAGATTGTCAGTCAAGCTGTATATGGAGTCAGTTTGCTGTGAGAAGTATGGTAACTTGAACACTTTCCTCTCCTCCTTCCTAATTCATCTGTCTGCATTATTGGAATTTTGACTGTAGTCTGTTAATTACTATTCACCCGTTGTCCCATTGTCTGTTTCATCCCGTGACAACGGGACCTCTGAACCCGGCACCCCTCCATCTACACCTGCGCACTGCCCTGCCCAACCCGTGTTGTGGGCTGCACCCCTCCTTGCCTGGGAGTTTTTCCTTGCCGATGCAGGAGGGTCTGTTAGACTGTTTGTGGTCTAACAAGAAGGACTGTGGTGATCCAGTATATTAAAGGCGCTATACCCATTTCTGCAAGGTTTGAATGTTTAGCACCGCCCCCCAACTCGCTCACAGACTTCTCATTTCCCCTACGCTCTCACAACACAGAGCCATCTAGTTCAATTTGCGATCTGATATGTATGCTAACATTAGCATTAGCGCAACTTCTTGTAAGATGGCGCCCTATTCAAATGAATGGCTTGTGCTCAGTAGCTCAGACGAGATATCTCCCATCATGCGTCGCGCCAAACGTGCGTGTGTGGCTTTCATGCACGTGCACAGAGGGGCTCGGCCACGCCCTGACCAATCAGAGCTGATCATCAGAGCAACGGAAAGCGGAGTCAGAGCTTGAAGGCAGGGAGCAGAGTTTGTGGCAGTAAAGTGTGGATTTAAAGAAAACCGAAGGATTTAAGAAGAAAAAAAGTTCAGGACGACAAGGGACACTAAAAACCCCACATAATCCAACCTTTATGAAAGCTGTAGGTTCTCTGTCAGGTTCTCTGTCAGGTTCTCTGTCAGCTGAGGTCGTGCTGTTTTAATTTACATTGAGTTCTATGGGATTTTTCTCTGGGTAGCCCACGTGAATTTAGTCTGCAGTACCACAGCGCCCCCTGTGTCCATAGGTGGGACAGCTATAAGCTAGTAATACCCTATCCCAGTGTTTTTCAACAGCTGTGCCGTATGATATTGTCAGGTGTGTCGTGAGAAATTCTAAAAATAACTGCATTCACTTTTTCAGAGCGCGGACTTGTTTTGAACTGTATTGTTACCACGTAATACTTTTTCAGGCCAGTAGGTGGCAGCAGATAGCTAAGTACTTTGAAATGTAAGAATTGGATTCAACCACCAAATGTTAACAAATAACAGGGTGGCGATAAATGTAAGAATTGGACGCGACCAACCAACGTAAGAGGCAGCGGGGAGAATTTTGGCGAGTGAGAAGTGAAAGTGATTGAGACGCTTTTGAAAATGATGCCTTTTCTGAACAGGATTCACATCCTCCGCTCTGACCCGGGGCAGCTGTGGCCCGTGTTGTACTGACAGCTGCTTTGACAACAGCTCAGAGAACGCACATCCGCAACATGGTGCCGCACGCGGACCCTAGTCACGTGGACAGAACCATGGAGTCGTGGACAGAACCATGGAGTCGTGGACAGAACCATGGAGTCGTGGACAGAACCATGGAGTCGTGGACAGAACCATGGGGTCGTGGACAGAACCATGGGGTCGTGGACAGAACCATGGGGTCGTGGACAGAACCATGGAGTCGTGGACAGAACCATGGAGTCGTGGACAGAACCATGGGGTCGTGGACAGAACCATGGAGTCGTGGACAGAACCATGGAGTCGTGAACAGAACCATGGAGTCGTGAACAGAACCATGGAGTCGTGGACAGAACCATGGAGTCGTGGACAGAACCATGGAGTCGTGGACAGAACCATGGAGTCGTGGACAGAACCATGGAGTCATGGACAGAACCATGGAGTCGTGGACAGAACCATGAAGTCGTGGACAGAACCATGGAGTCGTGGACAGAACCATGGAGTCGTGGACAGAACCATGGAGTCGCGGACAGAACCATGGAGTTGTGGACAGAACCATGGAGTCGTGGACAGAACCATGGAGTCGTGGACAGAACCATGGAGTCGTGGACAGAACCATGGAGTCGTGAACAGAACCATGGAGTCGTGGACAGAACCATGGGGTCATGGACAGAACCATGGAGTCGTGGACAGAACCATGGAGTCGTGGACAGAACCATGGAGTCGTGGACAGAACCATGGAGTCATGGACAGAACCATGGAGTCGTGGACAGAACCATGGAGTTGTGGACAGAACCATGAAGTCGTGGACAGAACCATGGAGTCGTGGACAGAACCATGGAGTCGTGGACAGAACCATGGAGTCGCGGACAGAACCATGGAGTTGTGGACAGAACCATGGAGTTGTGGACAGAACCATGGAGTCGTGGACAGAACCATGGAGTCGTGGACAGAACCATGGAGTCGCGGACAGAACCATGGAGTCGTGGACAGAACCATGGAGTCGTGGACAGAACCATGGAGTTGTGGACAGAACCATGAAGTCGTGGACAGAACCATGGAGTCGTGGACAGAACCATGGAGTCGTGGACAGAACCATGGAGTCGCGGACAGAACCATGGAGTTGTGGACAGAACCATGGAGTTGTGGATAGAACCATGGAGTCGTGGACAGAACCATGGAGTCGTGGACAGAACCATGGAGTCGTGGACAGAACCATGGAGTCGTGGACAGAACCATAGAGTTGTGGACAGAACCATGGAGTCGTGGACAGAACCATGGAGTCGCGGACAGAACCATGGAGTCGTGGACAGAACCATGGAGTCGTGGACAGAACCATGGAGTCGTGGACAGAACCATGGAGTCATGGACAGAACCATGGAGTCGTGGACAGAACCATGGAGTCGTGGACAGAACCATGGAGTCATGGACAGAACCATGGAGTTGTGGACAGAACCATGGAGTCGTGGACAGAACCATAGAGTCTTGGACAGAACCATGGAGTCATGGACAGAACCATGGAGTCATGGACAGAACCATGGAGTCGTGAACAGAACCATGGAGTCTTGGACAGCATTAAAAATGCATGTTATTTGTGCAAAAAAGTAAAATGTTGTGAACAAATCAAACAGAACACACAGCAGGGCATTTTTTTAATCATAATTTTTCACACACAAGAGCCCTCTGAGTCATTATTTGACTTTTTGGGCAGAGAGTGGATTTTTTTATGTTTTTTTCCCCCACAGTTATTGCCACTTTATTCCCGAACTCTTGTTAACTCATTGTATTGAGAAATATTAAACTAAGATTAATGTCAAGGCCTGGATTTAAGCACTTTGATAAGAATAACTGTATATTGTAAATATAGGCTACAGAGTATATATATTATAAGATAAGATATACTTTGTTGATCTCACATAGAGTATGTATAGTATATATTTTTACATTTTCTCATGGTGGTGGGCTGCAAGAGTTTTTCAATGAAAAAAGTGTGCCTTGGCTCAAAAAAGGTTGAAAAACACTGCCCTATCCAGTAATTATTATAGATCCATGCTTGTAAGCTGTACAACAATCACTGAGGAAATGGTTCTAAAGCAACGCACTGCTAACACAATATATAGGTAAAAGAATACCACTAATTTCGCATCCGAATTTATTCATTTAAACATTAGAATGTATTCTAATTTTTAATTCTAATTTATCCTAGAGCTCCTCACAGCAGCAGCAGAACACTCCCTTGACTTTTTTCTTGAAAAACAGAACTCTCAAACCAATAATGACAGCTGCCCTTTGACAACGCAATCGTGGGGCAGCACGGTGGCTGAGTGGATAGCACTCTCGCCTCTCAGCAAGAAGGTCCTGGGTTCGAATCCTGGTCGGACCAGGGCCTTTCTGAGTGGAGTTTGCATGTTCTCCCCGTGTCTGCGTAGGTTTCCTCCGGGTACTCCGGTTTCCCCTACCACTAAAAATATGTCCAATAGTTCTGGCATGCGCCTCCTGTACTGACCCCGCTCCCATCTCTGTGTGGAGTGAGAGACAAGTGCCCAAAAATAACAATTGTAAACCGCTTTGAGACTCAGATCTGCAGTGAAAAGGCGATATATAAATAAAGATTACTTACTACTACTTACTAATCTCTGTTTGTAATTCAGGTGTGTAAAATACTAACATTACTCTGCACGTACAACAAGCCTTCAGCGCCTGTCACTGCACTCTGCAGCTTATCTGCACACAGTTGTCTGTGTATAGAAGCTAGCGGAGCTAGCCACGCTCAATAAACAAATACATATCAATCAATCAACACCTTTAAACGTTAATCGGACAATACACATGCACAGACGTTTTCAGAATTATTTGTTAACGTTTTCATGACCAAATTACTATTTTAATGTGACAAAAAGCGGTTGCGAAAAACCCAGAAGTAACCATTAACATGAAACGAACATTTTAGGACACATTTGAAGAGGATCCGATGGATTTAGGTTGGGTATATAAATGGGTAACTCACCGCAGAGAATTCTTTGTTCAGTTTTCATGTAGTTCCAGAGAGTTTTTGAACTAGCTAGCTTAGCTGTTACCTGCCTAGCACGTCCCGGTGAAACCTTTGGGAGCTAACTATTTTAATTGCAGTCATTAAATACATTTGGAATTATAAGGGCTGTCTAATATCTGTTCAAATATATATATATATTTTTTTTTATTTTAGAATTATATTCAAATTTGGAAGTCGAAGCCCTAGTGTTTAGCAGCGCTGTAGAGGCTAGAGGACGCAGGCCTATGTGGTCTACATTGTCTGTGGCTTCACTGATCCGTGTTGACGATTTCAACGGTTTTGTTAAGTCCTCTGAGATTGACATTAGAAGGTTATTAAATTATCATTTCAGTAAATCATATGAGGCTAATTTATATAATTTATGCTAAAATTCACTTTGGCGCCAGGAAGTCTGGGGAACCCACATGGGCTTTAAGGATGCAGATGGAGAAGGCCTTGTCACATTGTCCTTTTGTTGTCTATTGGTTCCTCTTCCTGTGGAAGGTGTGTCTCCTCCAATACTGCTTTGCAGCCTGACCAAGGGCAGATATGTTCCTGGACGAGGCTGTGCTGAGCTTTAAGACATGTCTCCTTGGAAAGTAAGAAAGTAATAGAATTGCTGAACAATGCCTTTTGTGTTTGTGACTTTGTCAGGATGTTAACTCATTGAATGCCAGCCTATTTCAGAACAGGTACTCCCACAGTGCCAGCCATTTCTGATGATTTTTACTGATTTTTCAAGACCCACAGCATATCGTGTACTATGACAATCTGAAATCCGACACAGATTCTAAAAGAATGGACTGTCTACTGTACTTTCCTCAGCAAAAAGAATTTTGTTTATAGCTTTTTTCGTTCCCCTGTAATCCTCCGTCGAGTAGAGGGAAGTTTTACTGAAATCACCAGAAAGTTGAGAAAAAAGAGGCACAACAAGTGCACCTAACTGTTTTCAAACCATTCAGAGAGAAATGCTGCCACCTGCTGGCTCGATAAAATATGGTCTCAAGTCATCCCCATACATATTAGATACAATAGACGACGTTACTATTTGCTTTGACGTATTTGTGCGTCAATGGGACACAATGAGTTTTAACAGCATTAACAGATGACTACTGCTGTGATTTAGGCTATACAAGAATACATTGAATTTAATTGAATAATGCACATCAGCTTACTCCTCAATCATAAAACCACCAGTATTTTATAAATGTTCTCTATTAATCACTTATGGAGAAACCGACCCCCCACAGAGAGAGATATATTTTTTAACAGTTTATTTACTTAATCTAGTTTTGGAATTGGAAAGCATAGTAATAACTGGAGATTTCAGTATACATGCCAATGACAGCAATAACAGCTTGAATAAAGCTTTCAGTGCCTTTTTAGACGGTTGGTTTTAGTCAGAATGTCACATGTCAGATCTCACATTCATAACCACACTTTGGACCTTTTCCTGACATAGTAGTACGATAGTGAGTTTTCCAATATTAATGTTGTAGGGGAATGGAAATCACCCCTTTTCCCAAAATTCGAACAAATGTTAACATTTCTTCTCTTTTTGCATTGTGTTTTAAAACAGAGACTTATCCACATAACTTTGGGTCACCTCTGTCTTGCAATGTTTGCAACCCTTAGCCTTCCTGTATTTCGGGGGGAGGCGGCCCAAGAAGTGACCCTTACAACTCAAAACTCTCTCTGAAAGAAGGTTGCCTGACCTGAGAAGAACATTATCTCTATGCTCTCGGTCCTCCAGAGGAAAATGGAGGGCCGAGAGGCTTGACCGTCTATAGCAGTGGTCCACAAACTACGGCCCGCCTCTACATTTTTGGAATATCTTTTCATTCATTGCAAGCCATACTATTCTCCTCGTGAATTTGTTTCATTCATTCTTGCCTCTGTTTACATACCGCCATGCGCGGACGCAGAGCAAGTACTGTGTATGGAACGTTTATACCCGGACTCTCTGATTATTATCCTGGGGGATTTTAATAAGGGAAACTTGAGCCAGGAATTACCCAAATACAGACAGTTTATCAAATGCCCGACCAGAGAGGAGAACACTCTGGATCACTGCTACACCACCGTGCGCGGAGCTTTTCGTGCTGTTCCCAAAGCCAGCCCTCGGCTTCTCAGATCACTCCATGATACATCTGGTTCCTGCTTACAGACAGAGACTAAAGCTCTCGAAACCTGCAGTGAGGAGCTCCAAAGTGTGGTCTGATGAAGCTGTGGAAGAGCTGCATGCATGGAATCTACAGACTGGAACCTTTTCAGAGCTGCCACAGATAGTTTGGATGAATATACGGACACTGTGACGTCATACATCCACTTCTGTGAGGATAGCATCATTCCAACAAGGACCAGGGTCATCTATAACAACGACAAACCCTGGTTCACTGCTAAACTCCGGCAGCTCAGGAAACTGAAAGAGTCCACCTTCAAAGAGGGAGATACAGTGCCTTGCGAAAGTATTCGGCCCCCTTGAACCTTTCAACATTTTGCCACATTTAAGGCTTCAAACATAAAGATATAAAATTTTAATTTTTTGTCATGAATCAACAACAAGTGGGACACAATCGTGAAGTGGAACGAAATTTATTGGATAATTTAAACTTTTTTAACAAATAAAAAACTGAAAAGTGGGGCGTGCAATATTATTCGGCCCCTTTACTTTCAGTGCAGCAAACTCAGTCCAGAAGTTCAGTGAGGATCTTTGAATGATCCAATGTTGTCCTAAATGACTGATGATGATAAATAGAATGCACTTGTGTGTAATCAAGTCTCCGTATAAATGCACCTGCTCTTTGATAGTCTCAGGGTTCTGTTTAAAGCACAGAGAGAACCATGAAGACAAAGGAACACACCAGGCAGGTCCGAGATACTGTTGTGGAGAAGTTTAAAGCCGGATTTGGATACAAAAAGATTTCCCAAGCTTTAAACATCTCAAGGAGCACTGTGCAAGCAATTATATTGAAATGGAAGGAGTATCAGACCACTGCAAATCTACCAAGACCCGGCCGTCCCTCCAAACTTTCATCTCAAACAAGGAGAAGACTGATCAGAGATGC